GGGGGGGGGGGGAGAGAGAGAGAGAGAGAGAGAGAGAGAGAGATTTCAGTCCCATCAGATTAGGGGATTATAAGGATTTCAGTCCCATCAGATTAGGACCCTAATCTTACTACTTTATTTAATCCTGATTACCTCTCCAAGGTCCCAACTCCAAATACCATCACATTAGAGGTGAAGGCTTTAACAAATGAATTTTAAGGAGACACAGTCACTCAGTCTATAACATAAATCATATTTTTTCCTTCTTTGCATGTCTGGTAATTTTTATGAGATGCCAGACTTTGTGAATTTTACTTTGTTGGGTGCCAGATATTTTTACATTCTTATAAATATCTTTAAGCTTTGCTCTTGGATTCAGTTAAGTTATTTGGAGTAGTTTAATCTTTCTCAAGCTTCCATTTAAATTCTGTTACAACCAGACCAGAGAATCCCTTAGTTTAGGGATAATTTTGCCCCATTAATGGGGCATCACTGGGGGAATGCATGAACTCTAGGAAATAATTGTTCCTTCTGCTGCTTTTGAGTAGTTCTTTCCCTAGCTTTGGGTGGTTTCCTCATACATATGCACTGATTAGCACTGGGCTGAAGATTCCAGGAGGACCGCTTGCAGATTTCTGGAGCTTTTCCCTCTGTTACACCATCTCCTCTTCAGTACTCTGCTCTGCAATTCTAGATGCCTTGGCCTCCCCTAACGCACAAAACCATCTCCTCTAAGTGAGATCTAAGTGAGATCATCAGGCTCCATCTGCTTTCCCTGTTCCTGAGCTGGGGCTGGAAATTCTGTCTAAGCAATAAGCCAGGATAATCATAAAGCTCACTCCCGTTTGTTTTTATCTCTCAGGGATCACTCTCCTACCTTGCCTGATATCCAATGTTTGAAAAATTTTGTTCAATATACATATTTAGTTTATTTAGATTTTTTAGTTGTTACAAGTGGCCCTTGCCTGTTTGAACACGAAAATTTCTCATAGGATCAAGAAAGATTCTTTACATGAAAATTTCTCTCAGGATCAAGAAAGATTCTTTGCACTGTTTCCTTTAGTTTAGTGTCTTCGTGTAGAAATTGCTTATGATCTTTGAATGCTAAGATTATTGAACTGAGTGAAATGATCTTGCTTATATGCTTTAACTTTGTAAAAGAAAAGGGATGTGTGTTGGCTTTTTGTGGATGTTTAGTGATCTGTTTCTGATACTGATATAGTTATTAATAATTGTGAAATATTAGTAAAAGATAATTTAATAAAAAACATTGATTATATATTTATCAAACACTTTTTACATAGTGTTCCCTAAAACACTCAGTGTATACCAGTTTGTTTTTAGAATCCTGGAGATATTTTTATGTGTTAGAGTTTCCTATTCTTTTTGTGTTCATGTCAGTGGCAGTCACAAAAATGGGGTTAACTATAGTCAACTCTGGCTAATCATTTATGGACCATACTTTTTACTGAAAAGACCCAAATAATATTTCTGACCCTGCATTCATGATTTTTAGTATTCTCCACAGCATGATTGCTACTGGAATTCTTTACGGATGGAAATATAATAAAAATTCTAAAGCTCATCTCCGGAAATGGATGTTTTCTTTACTAAAGTCTCTAGAATGCAAAAGGAAATCCATGCAATATGAACTTCCACTTTTTAGTTATTAGCTAGGTAAAGAGAAAACATCTTACCGTGATCTCACTGAGATTAGGCTCACACGCCATCATGAATTTATGAGAGATCACATTGCTAAGCAAAAGAATACTGTACATATTTAAGAAACCACAGTTTCTTTTCACATAAATGGGAAAGAAGACATGTATATTTTCTTTCAACACGGTATACATTGTAATCTCCTTTTATCCCACAGTATCCCCAGATTCAAAAACCTTGAAAGTGGATGAAGAAACAGAAAACACAATGAGAGTTACCTGGAAAGCAGCACCTGGGAAAGTCATCAACTACCGTGTTGTGTATCGCCCCCGTGGGGGAGGGAGACAAATGGTTGCTAAAGTGCCACCCACAGTCACCTCAACAGTGTTAAAACGACTTCAGCCCCAGACCACATATGACATTACAGTTCTCCCAATATACAAGACTGGAGAAGGAAAGCTTAGGCAAGGATCAGGAACAACAGGTATAAAATAATTTTTTTTTGGAGGGGGGGGCAAGAGTATAATATATTAAAGGAAGGCTTTAATACATCTACTTTGTTTGTGTCTAAAATTAATTCCATAGTAAATTAGATTATAATAATCAGATAGGATCCTGATTAGCATACTAATCCTGGTAAAATGATTCTTCATATTAATGTTCTAATGCTAATATGATCTTATGAATGGTGAGAATTATTTATATATCCATTTGGGTAGCACTTCGTTATCAGGATTTTTATTGGATGTTATGTCTGGTGCTACCACATTTTATAAATATACAATTTGAAGTGTTGTGTTTGCGGTGATTCCCATGTATATCACTTAGATATCGCTAATCTGATTTCTTATTGCAGGGGGTAATAAAAAAACCCCAAACCTAGTCTTATGGATAATATTTTAAAACATTTTTATCTTTACAGCTTCTCGGTTTAAATCACCCAGAAACCTCAAAACATCTGACCCAACCATGTCAAGCTTCCGAGTGACTTGGGAGCCTGCCCCTGGGGAAGTAAAGGGTTATAAAGTCACTTTCCACCCTACGGGGGATGACAGAAGACTGGGGGAGTTAGTGGTTGGACCATATGACAATACAGTTGTTTTGGAGGAACTTAGGTAAGAATGAACTATATTCAGTTATGGTTAAAAGATCGAATAGTTTATGTAAATTAGTAGGACTTACACAGATAATCACTTATGTGTCTGATTGCCAGCAGAGTGCTTAAAATCAGCTGAAGTTGCTTTCTTAGTCTTGTTCTTACGGAAGATGAGGTTAGGATTCAGAGGCCAAGCTGAGTTTTTTGTGACATTTTGATGGTTCGGAATGGCATCTTTTCAATAACATCCTGCTTTTTTAAAAATTAACTTTCATATTTCACGATGTCACCAAAAGCAGCTTGTCCCTAGCCAGGCCTGTTGAAATGTGGGGGTTCTTGTGCCTTCTGGAAAGGCCCAGGTGACTCACACTGAGATGCTGAATATGAATCCTCTTCCAGGGTGGGCCATGGGAGAGAGAAGCAGGACTTTGTGCTTGGTGCCAGCTGGCAGGAACGGGAAAGGGTGGGCTGATTAAAGGTCTCGCTTCAGGCTGTGCAGTGGAAAACAAGGAAGTCTGAGTTTGAACAGCACCCTACATTCATCACAGTAGGAAGAATGGACTACTGTGCATTGCTTTTTGGAAAGTTTGTTTGTCTCAATCATTCATTCAACGATACTGAAATCTATATAAATACTCATTGTTTACTTTTAGCAGATTAGAGAGGATGAAATTTATTGAGGTTGCTATGTGCCAGGCATTGTGCTAGGTACTGTATGTTACCTTGCAATATACAGCATTTAAATTATTTTCTTAAAGCCCATTGCTTAGAAGCAGTACCTTTTAACTTGCTGTAAGTGAACGTTTGTAAAATCAAGATGAATGTGTTTAACAAAGCAAAATGTGCTACCCCTTGAGCCAGTTCTACATACGAACTATATATTTTAACATTTCAGGGCAGGTACCACGTATAAAGTAAATGTTTTTGGAATGTTCGATGGAGGAGAGAGTTCACCCCTTGTTGGACAAGAAATGACAACCCTTTCTGATACAACTGTCATGCCAATTTTATCCTCTGGTAAGAAACTGAGTTACATTTCCCCAGGAAAACTTAATATTATGATGCTATTTCAAATGTGAACTGTTAGGTTAGTCACACAGTGAAAAGCAAATATAAACACTTTATACTACAATATGCTTAAATAATTTGCACACTTAAAAACGTATCTTCAAACAGCTAGCTAAACATACCTTTGACAGTATTTTTTAAGGCCTATCTTGTCAGCATTTGCATTGGTTACATAGTACTGTATTATTTAAAGCTGAGGTTTTGCAATGGGTAGGTTACATACACTTTCTCTCTTTTTAATAACTAAAATGCAATGTTATTTTGTTAAAGTAGTTGCAGAAATGATTTATTTGGGCTGAGCAAGCAGAGTTCGGTTACATAAATAGGTGGACAGCCATGACTTGGTAAGCAACATGGAAGCATCAGCTTTCTGGATTTTTCTGCTCCTGCCACAGTTATTGCTTTGATGTGCATGAAGCTAGCTTTGAACGTTCTTAGAGGTGGAAGTAGTGGATAGAATTTACCTCTAAATGTTTTCCATCATTTGATAAAAAGGAGTAGACCTGGGCAGAGTAGGGGCAGGCTTGCAAAGGCTTAGGTGTTTGGAGTGGTATTTGGGAGTCTTCAGTCCTGATGGGAGGTACTATATGCAAAGGATGCCGTTGTAGTGTGACGAGCATCATTTAATTTTCTCGGATGCTACCACGGCAAGAAGTTGGAAAAGTCATAGCTGGTAATGTAAGCTTCCAGAAAAGAGGGGATTTAAAAAAATGTGGATGTGGACAAAATAAGTCAAAGTGTCAAATCCTGCTGTTTTGTATGAATGTTCTGTTGTTTCTGTTATGATGATATTAACTGACTTATATTTTTATTTTGTAGCTTGTGCACTGAGGATATTGGGATTTTTCTCTTTCCAAAGCACCCTAGCTTTGTATCAGTGTTTGTGCTTGTTGTCTCTAAAGCTCTCAATTTGTATATTTGTTTGCATACTTTTCTAAATTGTCTTCCTTCTTTCTTGATTTTTTAAATGTGCAGACTTCACCATCTGTATTTACCTGATTGTTTTACATAGTACATGATAAAGTTAAACAGCTAGCAACTCAATAATATAGTAGCTATCAGGTTTTAGAACAAGGTGTCTTTACTTCCAAAAGGTCTAATAAAGATTCATGTGTCTAATCCTTCATAATATATGTAATAATTACCCGAAGCTTAATTATTTTAGAAGATGTTTTAAGCTCACTAAAACCTTTTTTAGCTCACACATTTTATCAGTTCATTTCGTATTTGTCTGCCAATGACCATTACATATTACCAAAAAATGCTGCATCTAATTTTTAGATCACATTAAAATTTTATTAAAATTATTAATGCCTTGTCGCCAGATGGCTATACATTCTCATTCAATTATTTCAGCTCTTGGGTTTGTAAGCCCTTTCAAATACAATGATGGTTTAATTTAAGTCTCCAGCATCTATGACTGTAGCCAGGAAAGAGTCAAAGATGAAGGAAATATTTGCCATTGAAATATCATTGGAGGGATTGGTGATCCTTATGAATGTTATTTGAGGTTAATGAATCATATTGACATATTTTTGGAGTCTTGACCTCCAAATCACCAAGCTAAGCTACAGAACTGAAGCAGCTAGGCAACACTGAGCATCCAGGGATGGCAGAGGCATGGCTAGGAAGTCATTCTACTAAGAATTTGCTCCTTACTCTGTCCTGTCTCATGATTGCCATGTCAGGAATGGAGTGTCTCACCAGAGCGGAAGCAGACATTGTGTTGCTGGTGGATGGATCATGGAGCATTGGCCGGGCAAATTTTAGAACCGTGAGGAGTTTCATTTCTCGCATTGTGGAAGTCTTTGAAATTGGTCCCAAAAGAGTACAAATTGGTAGGTCTGGCAATATTGAAGACCTTTAGACATTTTTGTCCTTCTTTTTTATATATGCTAATGCCAGTGGTGTTATTTTAGCCCTTGCTCAGTACAGTGGGGATCCCAGAACAGAGTGGCAGTTAAATGCTCACAGAGACAAGAAGAGCTTGTTGCAAGCAGTGGCAAACTTACCATACAAAGGAGGCAATACTCTCACAGGTGAGTAAGGACAGCCTGGTGCACTTTTAGGTCTTGCTTTTGGTCAGAACTTGTGGCTGAGTGATGATGCGACTGATTCTCTTTTAAAAATCCCACTAGGCATGGCTTTGAATTTCATTCGTCAACAGAGCTTCAAGACCCAAGCTGGCATGAGGCCTCGAGCTCGAAAAATTGGTGTTCTCATCACTGACGGAAAATCACAAGATGATGTTGAGGCACCTTCAAAGAAACTCAAGGATGAAGGCGTGGAGTTGTTTGCTATTGGTAAGCACTCGAAAGGCTAGCAGTGCCCCTGGGGTTACAAAAGCTGAGGCTATTTTTGTAGTTAAAATATTTTTGAAGCATAAACACATAAACATATTTTCCCTATCACATAATTTATTAAACATATTTTCCCTATCACATAATTTATCAAAAAGATATGCCAAGAAGTCAACTCATTTTCTTCTTTTCCCCTTGTAATGGGATGCAACTACATGGCTTCTTGGAAGAAAGTAATGGGTCAGGAGGACAAATGTACTATTAGTAGGATGCAGGAAAATCCCTGTTTGGTTTTCTGTGGCACCATGTTTATTTTTGATATCCATTATTTTACTTTCCAGAGAAAACACTCAAGAGACACTTTTTGGTGGGAAATTGGTGCTAGAAGCATTTAGAAGAAGCCAATTCAGAATAGCCTTTAGTTCACATTATTTTTTTATTTGTTTCTATTTTGTGCCAGAGATAGTCATTTTATTATTGAGGAAAATCATATGTATATTCTAGTTAACATTGAAAATCCAAATGCTTTTAATTTGATGTATCCTTTTTTTTTTTGCAAGGCATTAAAAATGCTGATGAAGATGAGTTAAAGATGATTGCGACGGATCCTGATGATATTCATGCATACAACGTGGCTGATTTTGAGTCACTCTCTAGGATTGTAGATGACCTCACCATTAACTTGTGTAACAGTGTCAAAGGTCCAGGTAAGATTAGCCTAGGGCTTCTTGCCCTCAGCACTGTTGATATTTGGGAGAGATAATTATTTTTTGTATGGGGAAAGGGGACTCTTTTGTGTATTGTGAAATGTTTAGCAGCGTCCCTTGGCTCTGCCTACTGGATGTCAGTAGCATTCCCTGAGTTGTGACAACTAAAAATATCTTTGAATGTTGCCAAATATCTGATGGGAAGAATAATGTCCTCAGTTGAGAATCATTAGTTTAGTCCGTGATTTTTTCTCAGATTTGTTTCTGATGGCAACGAATTAGAAATGACTTCTAGCTTATTTGAAGATAAGCAACTAATATGGTAAAAGTGGTTCATATGCTTTGGGTATTGAGAATACATGTATTTGACTTTTTTCCTTGAGTTTCTCTCTCCAAACATTTGCAGATTTTCCTTTTGGATTTTGAACAACAGACTGACCTTTTCCCTGGAGAAATAGACCAGCCAGGAAGCCAGAATTTTTAGGCTTCTGGCTCTGGGTTAGCTGAGGGAGTTGTAGTTTTATTTAGTTGGAAAGAACTTTGAGTGGGGATGAAAACACCTTTTATCAGTTTTCCTTTATTTATTTTTTATCAGCTGTGTAATAGTTGCATTCATTCTAGTTTCTCAGACTGTAAAATTGCTTGATAATTTTGTAGGCTTGATTATGACCCAACTATAATAAAGGTTAGAGTGCTAAGAATGGAAATGCTTTCCCCAGCTTTACAAAGAAAGTTGAAAGAGTTTATAGGAGAATGATTGCTATGCTAATGAAGTCATTGAATTAATTCTCCTTAAATTATTATTTGGGACATCTTTCTAATGATCACTGTGAACTTAATATTTCTATTTTCATTGATGTTACGTCTAGATATTGGTCTGTAGTCATTCTGTTGTTCATTGGTCATTTCACTTTCCTTAACCAGAGAGAGCACAATCACAGGCAGTAGGATATTCCCAAATTTTAAAAGACTTGGTTGTTTTTCTTCTCTCTTGAGAAAGAAAGTGGGTAGCTTCTCTTACCACTGAACTAGGTCCTATAGGAGAACTAAACATAAATGAGAAACCAATTCTGTCCACACAGAGTATAACTTATTGTTAAGGAGATTAAGACATGAATATAAATAATCAAATGATAATGAGGGTGGTGAATGTGGGTGGTCCAACAATGATAGAGACAGTGGAATTATCAGGACCCAAATCCTTATTCATCAGTTATATGTATAAGGTTAGGGAAAGGAGGAAGTAATCAAGGAAATTCAGAGGTTTTAGAGTCTAGGTGATTGGTAAACAGGTAGCGCCACAAGAAAGAGTGGGATCAGGTTTTAATGAAAGATGAACCCAGGCTTGAATCTTCAGGGACTGAAAAATCCTTTGCCCACCCAGGGAGGTCTTACGGGCAATGGGACTGTAGACTGATTTACTTTTTATCAGGATGTGTGTACAAATTTGAAATACGGGGAGTAATACTGTTTCGATCTAATTTCAGATTTCATCACCTTGCTAAAATAATGATAAAAGCGTATGCATTTTACTTCCATGTGTAGGTGACCTGGAAGCACCTTCTAACCTAGTTATTTCTGAGCGAACCCATCGTTCTCTTAGAGTGAGCTGGACACCTCCTGCTGACAGCGTGGACAGGTATAAGGTGGAATACTATCCCGTTTCTGGAGGGAAACGTCAAGAAGTGAGTAGACAACATCTACAGCCCACTCCTTCCTGATATTGAGATTGAGTCCTTCACATTAAGGTTCAAAAAATGTTGGGTGTGGAGCAAGAAAGATGTAGAGAGTGGCAGAACTGAATCAACAGTGGTCCTTTCTATTCCTTGCTAGGCAAACACTTCCATTTGGGCTTAATTAAAGGAAAAGAGCTTTGCTTAAATTCTCATGGTTTCTAAGAATTGCAGAATATCAATATGATGTTTAATCAAAGGATGCTTGATTTATTTGTGAGTTTATAGTAGAATCCTTGAGGTGGAAGGAAACACTAAAGATGATCTAGTTTTACCCACTCATTTTACAAATAAATAAGGAAACAACAGCTGGGAGAATGAATGATATGAATTGTCTAAGATCTCATTGTAATCTGGTAATTTCCAAAAGCAAAAGACAATGGTTTCATCGAAATATAATTTCTAAGCTCATTGCAGTTAACTTACTTTGTAATGGTCGTAGAAAAGAAGGAAGTGATTACAGCATAAGTTGCTATTATTTTTTAAATTTTTTCCCCTAGTTTTATGTGAGCCGGCTGGAAAGTAGCACAGTACTGAAAGATCTGAAGCCTGAAACGGAGTATGTTGTTAATGTGTATTCTGTGGTAGAAGATGAATATAGTGAGCCTCTGAAGGGCACAGAAAAAACTTGTAAGTCAGATTAAAAAAAAATCTTCTCATTATTTTGTTTTTTAAGATGAATTGGTGGCAGTCTATGTGGGATTTTTGGCAGCCTTACATATCATTCCATTGTTCAATATCCATTCAACAAATACTTATTAAGTGTGTTCTTTGTACAGGTGCTCAATAAATACTCATCTGTGCTTACTGGCTGTTCTTGCAATCATGGGACTCCACTGGTAGAATGGGTAGTCATGGCCATAGATAACGGAGAGGGCTCACTTACCTTTCATATAGTTATTCACTTAAGAAAGGTGTCATGTGGGGAGTGGGACAAAGATTAGGAAGAGGAGCTGTGCAGAGATGACCTATTCAGTTTTGCATGTAGCCAGATCTTCCTGCTGTCAATGACATCAACCCTTTTTTCCTGGCCTTTTCATCCTGGCCTTTATTAGAGAAGTTCTAATGGCTTTGACTTTGAGTAGAGCTTCTGGCAGAGTTGTTCCTTGCTCCTATTCCTGGTAAGGTTTCTGAGGCCGTATGAAAGAACTCTTTCCTTTTCCCACCTTCTTGGCTGGACTCCAGGGGAAGGGAGGCCAGTAATAAGATGAAGGAGTGGGCATCACTCTCTCTAAGACAAGAATTGACTCTACTTACTGTTCAGTTCCTTAAGTCTTTATCTCTTCCCCCTCTCTTTATTGTATAAGGTTTAGGTGTACAACATTGTAAGCTGACATCTGTATACACTACAAAGTGATCACCCTCAAAAGTCTATTACCATCCATCACTCTACACTTGATCCTCTTTATCCCTTTCACCTACCCTCCAACCCTGTTCCCCTCTGGTAACTAGTGATATGTTCTCCGTATATGGATTTGGTTTTGTTTGTTTGGATTTTGTTTGTTTTTAGACTCCACGTATGAGTGAAGTCATGTGGTATTTCTCTTTCTCTTAACCTATTTCACTTAGCATAATACCCTCAAGGCCCATTCTTGTTGTCACTAATGGCAAGATTTAATTCTTTTTTATGGCTGAGCAGTATTCCACTTTATATATACTTCTATATGTTTCATTATATATCACTTCTTCTTTACCCATTTATCCACCAGCACACAGAGAGGTTGTTTCTATATCTTGGTCATTATAATATGACATTATATAATATAAGCATTATATAATGCTTCAGTGAACATAGAGTTGCATATATCTTTTGAATTAGTGGTTTGTACTCTTTGAATAAATAGCCAGTAGTGGAATAGCTGAATCTATGGTATCTATTCTTAATTTTTTTGCAGAATCTCCATACTGTTCTCCATAGTGACCACACCAATTTGCAATCCCACCAATAGTGTATCAGGGTTCCCTTTACTCCACATCCTTGCCAGCACTTGTTATTTCATATCTTTTTGATAATAATGATTCTAACACATATGAAGTGATACCTCTCATTGTAGTTTTGAATTGTGTTTTCCTAATAATCAGTGATGTTGAACATCGTTGCATGTGCCTGTTAGCCATCTGTATGTCTTCTTTGGAAAAATGTCTATTCACATCCTCTGCTCATTTTTTAATTGGGTTCTTTGTTTTGTTGTTCTTGTTGTTGTTGTGTTGTATGAGTTTTTTATACATTTTGGATATTAACTCCTTATTGGAGTTTTGATTTGCAAATATCTTCTTCTATCCAGTGGGTTGCTTTTTGTTTTGATGACATTTTCCTTTGCTGTGCAGAAGCTTTTTAGTTTGATGTGGTCTCATTTGTCTATTTTTATTTTTGTTTCCCTTGCCTTTGGAGTCTCAGCCACAAAAGCATTACCATGACTGGGGCAGCTGCCTGGCTCAGTTGGTTAAGTGTCTGACTTCAGCTCAGGTCATGATTTCACAGTTCATGAGTTTGAGCCCCACATTGGGCTCTGTGCTGACAGCTCAGAGCCTGGAGCCTGCTTCAGATTCTATGTCTCCCTCTCTCTCTGCCCCTCCCCTGCTCACACTCTGTCTCTCTCTCAAAAATAAATAAATGTTAAAAAAATTAAAATAAAAAAACATTACCAAGACTGATGTCAAGAAGCTTACCATCTATGTTTTGGTTCTAGGATTTTTATAGTTTCAGGTTTTACATTCAAGTCTTTAATCCATTTTGAGCTAACTTTTGTGTATGGTGTATGAGAGTGGTCTAAGTTTCATTCTTTTGTATGTGGCTGACCAGTTTCCCAGCACCATTTATTGAAGATACTGTTTTTATTCCATTGTACATACAGTGGTTCCTCTGTCATAAATTAATTGTCCATATATGTGCAGGTTAATTTCTGGACTCTCAATTCTGTTCTATTGATATGTGTGGGTTTTTTTGCCCATACCATACTGTTTTAATTACTATAACTTTGTAATATAGTTTGAAATCAGGGACTGTGATACTTTCAACTTTGTTCTTTTTTTAAAATTTTTTTAACATTATTTATTACTGAGAGACAGAGAGACACAGAGCATGAGTGGGGGAGGGGCCGAGAGATGGAGAGACACAGAATCTGAAGCAGGCTCCAGGCTCTGAGCTGTCAGCACAGAGCCCGATATGGGGCCTGAACACACAAGTCACGAGATCGTGACTTGAGCCGAAGTCGGACGCTTAACCGACTGAGCCACCCAGGCACCCCACAACTTTGTTCTTCTTTCCCTGTGATTGCTTTGGCTATTCAGCACCTTTTGCGGTTTCACATACATTTTAGAATTATTTGTTCTAGTTTTGTGAAATATGCCATTGTAACTTTGATAGGGATTGCATTGAATCTGTAGATTTTTATGGATAGTCTGGACATTTTGACAGTGTAAATTCTTCCAATCTATGAGCACAGTATGTCTTTCCATGTCTTTGTGTATCTTCAATTTCTTTTATTAGGTTTTATTAGTTTTCAGTGAATAGGTCTTTCACCTCTTTGGTTAAATTTATTACTAGATATTTTATTTTTTTTTATGCAATTACAAATGAGGTTATTTTCTTAATTTGTCTTTTTGATAGTTTGTTATTAGTGTATGGAAATACCATGGATATCTGTATATTGATTTTATGTCCTGTGAATTCATTTATTAGGTCTAACAGTTTTTGGTGGCATCTTTAGGGTTTTCTATATATAGTAACATGTCATTTGCAAATAGTGATAGTTTTACTTCTTCCTTTCTGATTTGAATACCTTTTTTCCCCCTTGCCTAGTTGCTATATTTAGGACTTCCAATACTATGTTGAATTAGTGGTGAGAGTGGGCATGCTTGTCTTGTTCTTGAACTTGGAGGAAAAGCTTTCAGCTTTTTCCCATTGAATGTGATGTTGGCTGTGGGTTTGTCATATACGGACTTTATTATATTGAGGTAAATTTCCTCTATTGCCACTTTGTTGAGAGTTTTTTTAAAATCATAAATGGGTGTTGAATTTTATTGAATGCTTTTTCTGCATCTGTTGAGATGATCATATGATTTTTATCCTTCATTTTGTTAATGTTGTATATAACATTGATTGGTTTGTGAATTTGAACCATTCTTCATCCCTGGAATAAATCCCACTTGATCATAATGTATAATGCTTTTAATGTATTGTTGAATCTGGTTTGCTAATATGTTGTTGAGGATTTTTACATCTATGTTTGTCAAGGATATTGACCCATAATTTTCTCTCTTTTTGTGTGGCATCCTTGTCTGGTTTTTATGTCAGGGTAATGTTGGCCTCATAAAATGTGTTTGGAAGCATTCCCTCCTCTTTAATTTTTGGAAGAGTTTGACAAGGTTACGTTTTAAATCTCCTTGACTATTTGGAAGATTTCACCAGTGAAGCTGTTTGGTCTTGAACTTTTGTTTGCTGGGAGTTTTTGATTTCTGATTCAATCTTCTTGCTAGTAATCACTTTACTCAGGTTTTCTATTTCTTCCTGATTCAGTCTTGGGAGATTGTATGTTTCTAAGAATTTATCCTTTTCTTCTAGGCTGTCTAGTTTGTTGGCATATTGTTTTTTGTAGTAGGTCTTTTAAAAAAATGTTTATTTATTTTGAGAGAGAGAGAGAGAGAGGGAGAAAACAAGTGGTGGAGGGGCCGACAGAGAGAGAGAGAGAGAGAGGGAGAGAGAGAGAGAGGGAGAGAAAGAGACTCCCAAGTAGACTCCATGATGAGTACAGAGCCATTCATGGGGCTTGATTTCACAACCGTGAGGTCATGACCTGAGCTGAAATCAAGGGTCAGACACTTAACTGACTGAGCCACCCAGGCACTCCTATGTAGTGTCTTATGATCTTCCCCGCTCCCCACCATGACATCAGTTGTAACTTTTCTCTCATTTCTGATTTTATTTGAGTCCTTTTTTTTTCTTTGTTTGTTTAACTAAGGGTTTTTTTTTATTTTGTTTATCTTTTTCAAAGAACCAGCTCTTAGTTTCATTGATCTTTTCTATTTCCTTAGTCTCTATTTAATTTATTTCTGCCTCTGATGTTTATTACTTCCTTCCTTCTAACTTTGGGCTCAATTTATTTTTCTTTTTCTAGTTTCTTTAGGTGTAAAGTTAGATTGTTTATTTGAGATTTTTCTTGTTTCTTGACGTAAACCTATATTGCTATGAACTTCCCTCTGAGAACTGCTTTTGCTGAATCTCATAGATTTTGGTATGCTATTTCTCTTATTTTTTTCTAAGTATTTTCTGATATCTCCTTTGCTTTCTTTGATGACCTCATGGTTGTTCAGTTACATGTTATTTGTTTTCATGTTTTTGTGTTTTTTCCAGTTTTGTCATTGTAATTGATTTTAGTTTCTTACCATTTTTGTCAGAGAACATGCTTGATACAATTTTAGTCTTCTTAAATTTATTGAGACTTATTTTGTGACCCAACATGTGATCTATCTTGGAGAATGGTCCATGTGCAGTTTAGAAGCATGTGCATTCTATTGCTTTTGGATAGAATGTTCTGCATATATCTATTATGGCCATGTGACCTAATGTGTCATTTAAGACCAATATTGCCTTATTTATGTTCTGTCTCATGACCTATTCATTGCTGTAAGTAGGGTTTTAAAGTCACCTACTATTATTTTTTTGCTTTCAATCTCCCCTTTTAGGTTTTTAAATATTTGTTTTATATACTTTGGTGCTCCTGTGTTGGGTGTTTATAAATAAACTTTTATTTTTAATGTTGTATCTTCTGCCTGGGTTGATCTTTTTATCATTATGTGGTGCCCCCTTTGTCTTTTAGTACAGTATTTATTTTAAAGTCTATTTTGTCTGATATGAGTATAGCTACATCAGCTTTCTTTTCATTTCCATTTGCATAGAATATTGTTTGGCATCCCTTCACATTCAGTCTGCATGTGTCCTTATTTCTGAAATGAGTCTTTTGTAGGTAGCATACAGACAGTTCTTTTTTTTTTTTTTAAATCTATTTATCCACTCTGTCTTTTGATTGGTAAATTTAGTCCATTTATATTTGAAGAAATAATCAATAGGTATGTACTTATTTCCATTTTGTTGTTTTCTGGTTGTTTTTGAAGTTCTTCTTTGTCCTTTTTCTTCTCTTTTTCTCTCCTCTTGTGGTTTTCTGGCTTTCTTTAGTGTTATGTTTAGATTCCTTTCCTATTTTCTTTTATATATTTAGTATTAGTTTTTCTTTGTGGTTACTGTGAGATTCATATGTAGCATCCTATGCATATGATAGTCTCTTAAGTTGATAGCAACTTAAATTTGAACACATTCCCAAATTTTACATTTTTATCTCCCATTTTTCATATTTTTAAAGAAATGATGTTTTATGTAAGAAGATTTTTTTAAATATTTATTTTTGAGAGAGAGAGAGAGTGTGGGTGGAGGAGGGGTAGAGAGAGAGAGACAGGGGGACAGAGGATCCAAAGCGGGCTTTGTGCTGATAGCAGAGAGCTGGATGTGGGGCTTGAATTCACAAACCATGAGATCATGACCTGAAGTCGGATGCTGAGCCACCCTGGCACCCCACATTTTATATTTTTGATGATACATTTTACATCTTTTATTTTATGCATCCTTTAGCTAATTATTATAATTTTAGTTAACTTTACTACTTTTGTCTTTTGACCTTCATACTTGCCTTATTGGTGATTGATCTACTATCTTTGCTATATATTTACTTTTTCCAGTGAAATTATTACTTTCATATTTCTCCTACCTCTCCTACCTGCCCTGATATGGCTCTTTTCTCTTTGTTGTGGAAGGTACTATTCCTCTAGTTCTCAGGTCTTTCTGTTTCAGAGAAATTATTTCATATGTGGCTATAAATTTTTCACATCCATGGGAAGAGGTGATTTCAGAGTCTTCTTTTGTTACCATCTTGAACCTGTCCTCCATCTCTTCTCTTACTATCCTTCATATTAGATCATAGGAACTGGGAAATAATGTATTTCATAATGGGCAGGATTAATCTGATATTTTCTTGAAACTTTAAACTCAATCTTTGGACAGTATATAGAAAGCTATATGGGTATTAAATGAAGAGGAAACTGAAAATCTTTTACTGTGCCTCATGGGCCTGGGTCCAGAAGTCCACGAATCCCCTAAGTTTCAGTTATTAATATATGGCACTCTCACTTAATTTTTCTTTAATTAATGATGAAATAAAATACTGTACTTGTTACTTATGTATGAAATTTTATGATTGAAATCTGAAAAGAGACAACTTAAAGATATTCCAGAAAAAGAGATTGACATTTCAGGAAGTTGTTATCTATTTTCACTTCCATATGGACTCATTGGAATACCAGTTGAAATTTAAACTTTCTTTTTTTATAAAATAGTTGTAACTTGCTGTCCTGAGTATGAGGTGGCAATGAACAATGAGATTAGGTTTTTCAGGAGAGAGGAAAGAATTATATTGACCCTCATTGACTTCTTGCAGCAACCCATTCTCTATTTAGCATATATAATACCAATTATTAAATAGGAGTCAACAATTAAAAATGAGTAGATTGACAGGAATTAGACTGATGTCTGCCTTTACATTCCAACAGTACCAGTCCCCGTGGTCAGCATGAATATTTATGATATTAGCCCTACCAGCATGCATGTGCAGTGGCAGCCAGTGGGAGGGGCTACTGGCTACACCGTGACATACGAACCCACCAATGCCACAGAACCAGCAAAACCGAAAGAGGTGAGAGACATTTGTTTCTTTATCATTGGGTCTTCCTGAGACTTTATAGTTTTAGAGACTGCATTAAACTGCAGTTGCTTATGAACTTATTTATAACTACATGCAAAATGGAAAAATAGAAAATTAGATTTGTGACCTTTGATACATTTTTAAAAAACATTGGCATGAAAGGAAATTCTGTTCAGAGAAATGAAAAATAACTGTTGTGTTATATAATCTAGTGGTTACAAATAGGCCATAATTGGCTAGCCCCAGTAAATGGAAATGTTTGATTTGAATGTCTTATTTCCCTTTGGCATGTCCATATGCAGATGCGTGTGGGGCCAACAGTGAACGACGTGCAGCTGACTGATCTTTTTCCCAACACTGAGTATGCAGTCACAGTGCAGGCTGCCTTGCACGACCTCACTAGTGAACCTGTCACTGCTCGGGAAGTCACCTGTAAGATATTACCAGTTTTTATTCTTTCTTTATTGCTGTTGATGTAATGTTCATTAGGATTTTTCTTCCACCCAATGACACTATCAATACTTGAATAATTTGTGCATAAATTACAGGGTTATTCCTTATGGGAATCACAATTGAGAATTAAAGTTAATTCTAGACTTATGGCAGCATCTTAAATTGATTCTAGGATGTACTTTTTTTTCACATTTAACGTAGTTGATACTGAGGATGTTTCTTAACAATCAGTGGTGGGTGTCTTACAAGTAGTTTTGGCCAAATGTCAATGAGGGCATAGAATATAAAATAATGGTATATTTAAGTATGATATATAGCACTGGTGAGAAGGGAATGTCGAGTGAGTGTAATTTTGGAGGAAGATTCTAGACTTAAGATTAAGATGTTTCAAGTTCTTGCTGAAGTAGAAACTTTATGGCACATGTAGATAAGTCTGTTTCAATTAAGTGAGCTAATCAGTTTACTCAATCCAAAAACATATTTATTGATCATCTGTTGTACTTCAGTCACTTTGCTGGGTATTGGGAATGCACCAATAGATAATACAAGGTGTAGTGTAAAGCATGTGGACTCCTTTGTGGTTTGCACTTTTCTTGAGTTATTGATCAGTCCCTTTTGTGTTTTTGGTTTGTTTCATTGGCATTCAGGTGCTTTTTCTTGAAAAGGACAATGATTGCACTTAGGACCCTTGCTTTTCCTGGCTAGAACTTTTGTTTCATGCTTGTTGAGGTGGTCATATTGGAATAGATGACTAGGTTTAAATTTGAGTCTCAGCCCACGTTTCTAAGGAAATTAAGAAGTTAGAAGGAAACTTCAAGGGGGAGGGGAAGTGATACAGAAGCATGATAAGGCAGAAAAGAGAAAGCGCCCTTGAAGGGTGGGACAGTATAAATTCACTGACAAGAAATAATCATTTTTTATATACTAGACCCTGTTTAGAGCTGGTGGTGGTTTTGTAGAAATGAGGTAGTGGCAGATGGAAAGAGTGGGAAGCCAGCTAGGGATTGGAGATAGGTGTTCTCAGAGTGTCTGGAGAGAAGATGGAAGAGTCATAATGGCACGAAAGGCGAGTGTGGTCATGGATTTGATATGGAACTGGAATACAACAGTGGAGGAAGGGAGGACACAGAGATGCAGAGAGACAAAAACATTGAAGGGAAAAAGGTGCAGAAACATGGAAGTGGAGGGTGACGTTCAGGAGGAAGGATGTACAGAGTTGAAATGAGAGACAAAGGAAATTGGTCAACGGGCAGCTAGAAAGTGAGATCTGTCTAATATATTCTTTGTTGGTTATCCTTAGCCATGTTCTTTTTAAGGTAAGGTTTTGTTTGACTTGTCAAAAAGTTTGTCATTTGGATTTCTTGTAACCATTTATGCTTCTGTGGATTTTCTTACCAGCTTACCGGGTGCTTAATTTTGGCCCATCTTCATTCTTCATTCTCATAACCATTTGTTTTTCTATCATTTTCTTTTAAGGGACCATAACTCTTTCGATTTTGTTTTCTATCCTAACTGATTTAAATATCTGATAAACACAAGCTGCACATTTATGCTGAATTATGATATATTATAGGTGAATAGCAAGTAAGATCTTATTAAAATAGTATGGAAGGAAGTCTGCATATAAAAGAGAAATTATAATTATAATAAAAATTTAAATTTATCATATTTTTAAAGATCCTTACTAAGAAAAATTGAGCTCTACCTAGTAGAATCATAGTATGTTTATCAGCATAGCTATTTTTCAAAGTTATTTTGCTGCACACTGTTAAGTTTTCTGCAAACAATTCCTTGAAAACGTGTGTAAATGCATTAGAATTCTGTGGTGAGAGCCACATCAAAATCTCATTTCTCATGCGTCTCCAGTGCCTTTACCCAAACCTCGAGATCTGAGACTCAGAGATGTGACTCACAGCACCATGAATGTGTTTTGGGAACCCGTGCCTGGAAAAGTGCGTAAATATATCGTTCGCTACAAAACACCAGAAGAGGATGTCAAAGAGGTAAGTTGAAGACTGGAATGGATTTGGAAATATTTGTTTTCTGTAGGTTTAATAAAAGAACCCAAATTAGTATAGAGAATAGCATGTTTGAATACTTGTAACCTTATTAATACAGTATTGAAAATTTGTTATATTAATAAAGCATTTTTTGAATACTTGATGATATATTGGACTGTGTTGCATTTAGTTTGGAAATGTTTTGTTGTGTGATATTGATCTCAAAATCATTATCCCTTAATGGATAGAGTCGTAGAATGTAGTTGGTACTTCCTTCTCATTAAGATGCCTTTTATGGTATTCTGCATTCTATAAATTACTAAAAATATCATAATAATGTTTCTAAAAATAAAAGCTAGCAAAGGATGCAGGAAAGAAGAGGGGAGTTCATCAGATAGTAGGAAGATAAGGCAATGCAGCAGGACTGAGAGAAAGGGTAAATGTATTCTTAGAGGAGGGTCCCTTTGGTGGTGAGCGTTTTTGAAATGATGTTGGGGCAGAGATCTGTTTCGATGACAACCTGATTCAAGGTGGGAGCAAACTGAGGGCCTTCACTAGAGAATGGGCTTAAAACTTATGTGTGCTTGGGGGCACATTAATGACATTTTTGGTAGATAGAAATAGTTTCCGTAAGCACTCACTTGTTGACTGTGCTGGTCATTTGGATTATACTAAAGCTAATTTATACATGTGCACACATTCATTTCATTCTAGGTTTCAATTTCAAAAGAGGCACAATGACCAGTGGGCCTCACAGGATTCTTGTGCATAACAAATGAGGTAATGCACAGGAGAACATTTCTGAAAGAAGTAAGGCAGTGATACAAAAGGAAACAGAAACTGTCGTTGCAAAATGGTTAGGTTGCTTGAATCTGTAGAGAGTCATTATTTACCAAACCCTAGTGTCAATATATTTTTCCACATTGGAAGCATTTAAACTGTCTCTGGTTCCTGGACTCTTTTGCATATTAGAAACCATTGCTATTTTTTGTAGCACAATTCTTATGCTCTTTTGCTAAGAGGTACAGTAAACAACAGAAATGTTAAAACTATACTCTTCGTAAAAATAGTTCCACTGCTCTATTACAGGTAGAAGTAGACAGGTCAAGGACCAGCACCCCTCTCAAAGACCTGCTCTCACAAACCCTGTACACAGTAGGGGTTTCTGCAGTATATGATGAAGGGGAGTCTCCCCCGGTGACTGCTCAAGAAACTACCCGTAAGTTGTGATCATGCTTCCTTGATAATTGAGAAACAACATTACATGACTGTGTAACTGAACTTATTGGGTCATTTTGTTTCTTAGTACAATTTTTCTTGAATATTTGTGGATTTCCAGATTGCTTTTTATTTATTTTCTGCCCATCTTCTACCTTCATGTCCATTCCTTTTATTTTCAAATTTATTGTGTTATTTTATTTTTCAATTAAGTTTTTAATTTTTCAAAAATTAAAAAAAAATTAATGTTTTTATTTATCTTGAGAGAGAGAGAGACAGAGAGAGAGAAAGAGGAAGAACAGGGTAGGGGCAGAGAGAGAGAGGGACAGAATCCTAAGCAGTCTCCATGTGGTAGCACAGAGCCCTACGTGGGGCTCTAAGTCACAGACCTTGAGATCATGACCTGAGCTGAAATCAAGAGTTGGACGCTTAACCAATTGAGCCACCCAGGCACTCTATTTAAAAATTTTAAAAATGTTTTTATTATCTAAGTTTAAAATTTTAATTCTAGTATAGTTAACATACAGTGTTATGTTTCAGGTGTACAATATAGTGATTTAACATGTCCATTCCTTCTATGATATGTTTATCTTACTATTATTCTATCAGCCACTGTCATTAATTCATCTTCCAGATACTCAACTGGTGTGTGTACGTGTGTGTGTGCGTGCGTGTGTGCATGTGTGGGGGGGGGTGGGGAGGAAGTATATTCTTGATGTAAGTTGGCCATTTTCTCTGGGAAAGTTGTGTTAGTTATCAAATATTTTTTGAAATCTTACTATATATAAAGTGCTATCAGCGGTAACAAAATATAAAATCTTTGCCTTCAGTAGTTCATGATTTCATTGTGGAGATAAGAAAAAGTAATTGACAATGTAGGGGCTCATGTAAGGAAGGTGAGGTAAGCGGCACTCAGGTTGCGCACTGTCGGGTTTCAGAGGAAGGGGAGGCTTGCACGGTGGAAAGGCAGGGGAGATGCAGGGCAACCTGCCCTGGTCCCGTCTCACCTGCTCCATTTTGTTGCTGCTTCCAGGGATGTCCGTTTCTTCCTCTGTCATGGTACTTGCATAGTATTTAACCCAATTATTGTTGCTCGTTAATCTTTTTCTATCTATTCTGCTTACCCCTCCTCCCCACAAGTGAAGGCAGAGACATACTTACTTTGTACAACTTTGCATCTCCAGTGCCTGGCACTGTGCTTAGCACATAATTTCCTAATCAAATAGCGCTTAAGAAGTTGAGGTCTAGAGGGGTGTGTGGGTTGGTTGAGCATTCAACTTCTTCTCAGGTCATGATCTCATGGTTTGTGAGTTTGAGCCCCACTTCAGGCTCTGTGCTGACAGCCTGGATCCTGGAGTCTGCTTTGGACTCTGTGTCTCCCTCCCTCTCTGCCCCTACCCCGCTCTTTCTCTTTCTCTCTCTCTCTCAAAAATAAATAAACACTAAACAAAATTTTAAAAAAAAGTTGAGGTCTAGAGCCGGTCTAGTTCCAAAGAAATATAATGGGAGCTACTTATGAAATTCACAGTTTTCTAGTAGCCACATTTGAAAAAGTAAAAGGAGGGGTGCCTGGGTGGCTCAGTCGGTTGAGCGGCTGACTTCGGCTCAGGTCATGATCTCGCGGTCCGTGAGTTCGAGCCCCGCGTCGGGCTCTGGGCTGATGGCTCTGATGGCTCAGAGCCTGGAGCCTGCTTCCGATTCTGAGTCTCCCTCTCTCTCTGACCCTCCCCCGTTCATGCTCTGTCTCTCTCTATCTCAAAAATAAATAAACGTTTAAAAAAAAATTGAAAAAGTAAAAGGAGACAGAGGAAACTAATTTCAATGTGTTCTATTTAACCCAATATATAAAAAGTGTTGTCATTTTAATATGTATCAGTAAAATAATTATATTAATACTTCTCATAATTTTTTCCTATAATAATTATTTGAAATCCAGTACATATTAACTTTATACTTACAGTATTTCTCAATTGGGACTAGGCATATTTCAAGTACTCAGTAGCTACTACTGTATGGCTAGTAGCTTTGACAGGAGACACCACAGGTCTAGAAAATTTAAATGACTTGCCCCACCTCATCCAGCAAGGTACTGCTGGGATCAATACAAATCTGGAACATTTGCTTCCTGCCCTGTAACTCCCTCACTAGAGGCCCCAAAGCTTCTCCTTTCATACCTAACTGTCTATACAGGATCAGGGAGTCTGGTCAAATGTTACAGCCTACTCCTTAACATCAGACAGTATCGACTTCTGCTTTTCTTATCATGTGATTGCTGCTAGCAATCTCAGCTGTCTTCTTGGCATGGTTCTTACCTGGAAAGGGTAGTGCCTGGATGGGAATATCAGTGCATGCGAGTAGACAGACAGCTCTGCATAAACATAACAGGTGTAGTAAAGAAAAAAAGTCAGGAAAGAAAGACTAGTGGAAGGAGTTAATTTAGCAATTACTAAATCAATACTTTCAATGTGTTTTTAATCCTTAAGACTTCCTAATACCTTTTAGATATATTGAAAGTACATCCTTAACATGTGGTTTGCTTTGCAGATGTGCTTATGAAAGTGGTGCCACTCAGTATTTCATTGGGCCTTTTCACTGTAATTATTAGAAATAAATTTTTGATGGGTCTGGATTTTGTGTAGTTGGCTTTGGTTAGTAGGGGGTAGAGAAATAATTGAAAATGAAAGCTCATAACTGGAGGCAGACATTCCAGATTCCTTGTGCCTGGTCAATGGAGAGGCTTTTAATTGGGGTTTCAGCAGTCATTAGCACTCTGGGGTTATTCCTGTCTCTGGACAGAGTGAGTACAGTCTGCTTCACTTATCCTTAAGATAGACGAGTGTTTATCAGAAAACCTCACGCATGGATTACTTAGATCATTACATTTCATAGGCCATGATGGCCCATGCACTCTCAGATAATTATCTACCAAAGTTTAGGTTTATGGTATTGCTGTGTGAACAGGTCCGTAGATGTTCAGCTTTCAAATAGGACATTGAAAAAAAATACTTGAGATGCAGAATGATTGAGAACCAGTGAATCAGAAGAGTATTACTAAAAGGTACTTTAAAAAATATCACCATTTTAACAGAATACAAATAGTAACCTATTACATCCATGTACTGTTTGCAGTTTTCAGAGCTTTCTCTTACACTATCTTTCAAATGAACTGGACTGGTAAGATACTTGGTTCTAAACAATGCTTTCAGCCAGTGTCCCCATGTCCATGAAGGTAAAACAAAGCAGTTTTATTATATTGTTTGTGGATCACATTCATAGACTTGGTCCTGCTTTATCTCATGATAGGTACTGTGCCAGCACCAACAAACCTAAAGATTACTGAAGTAACACCGGAGAGTTTCCGAGGGACTTGGGATCATGGAGCTTCAGATGTGTCCCTGTACAGAATAACCTGGGCACCTTTTGGAAGCTCAGACAAGATGGAGGTAGTGTTAGCTCTCTTCCTTCCTTTCTCCCTTCCGTTTTTGAAAAACATCTTATTTCACTATAAGGAATCTTGTTTGAAGCATGTATTACCTCTATTGCCAGAAAAGCATCCTTTCTTATTAGTGACATTTGAACTCTTGGGATGCAACAAAGCCAGAATGGCTTTGTAGTGGCTAAATAATGTCAACCAACTTCCATTGAGTGTATGATGTACATGGTGACTTAATTTTGTGTGGGTTTGTTTTTTTTTTCCTCTTTCACTAAGACCATCTTAAATGGAGATGAAAATACTTTGGTGTTTGAAAACCTGAACCCGAACACTCTTTATGAAGTTTCTGTTACTGCCATATATCCTGATGAGTCAGAAAGCGATGACCTGACTGGCAGTGAGCGCACACGTAGGTGTTCAGCTTTGAAATAGGACCTTGTTATTTTAAAGTTAATTTAAAAAATAGAGCTATGGCTATATTAGTAATATTTCCCCAAATTCTGTTTTGTTTTTTTTTTTGTTTTTTTTTTTTTTAATTTCAGCACGTTTGATACCCTTAACAACACAAGGTAAGAGTTTAATTTGCTGAGCCATATGAATGACAAATAATGAATGAATGAATAAATGATGAACAAATGAATGAATGAAAAATACCATAAAATCCACTGCAAAGAGATTTTTTGCTTTTAAATTGCAAGGCATCGATTGAGACCTATTTTTAAACGTTTCTTAAAAAACTGCTTTATTGCCATTTGTTAAGAAGTCATTTAAGATTCAATGGCCATCCTTTACTGGGGTCAAATTTAGTCCTAAAGTTAAAAGTATACTGATTTCCTTGTGAATAGTGATTATTTGAGGAGGAGGCCTCGTTCTGTGAGCTTACTCTGTTTCTCAACAATCTTTTTTCAGCTCCAAAAAGTGGCCCACGAAACCTTCAAGTGTACAATGCAACATCTAACAGCTTGACTGTTAAGTGGGATCCCGCTAGTGGTCGTGTGCAGAAATACAGAATTACTTACCAGCCTTCAACAGGAGAAGGCAATGAACAAACGGTAATATTTTTGAAAAAAATATAACTGGGAAAATTCTACCTTTTCTCCTCAAACTCTTTTCGCCTCCAGTGTTTAGTCATACGTACTACTTTGAGGGATGCAAAATTTATTGTATTGAATGGACTTATTTGACTCCATTTGCGATGGGAACTCTGGACATTCTCATGAGAAGCGTAAGTTGCTTTTCATGGTAGGCAGCCTCACAGCATCAGATATGTGCCTCATGCATGCACATTTCCCTTAAACACTCCTAGCGCTGGGTTATCTATGAAGATTTATAGATTTTTAAAGTCTATTTAGATTTTTAATCCATATTTCTCCAACTTAATCAAATACTGAAAGTTTGCCAAATTTCTGTTATTGTAATTTTCTTGTTTTTGCATGTGATAGATATTTCCTATATCTGGAGTTTCCAGATCTAGGCTTCTGTTCACCTAATTCATATTATTTATTATTTTTATATTTATCCAAATAGAGGTTTCTGAGAAAGATGATATTACTGTAAACAACCTTCATCTTCTTTATCTTTCTGGTCTTCCCTGATTTAACAAAGTCCTTGTCCATTCACTTTGTCTTTTTTTGAACCTTCTCCACCTTTGCTTTGTGAAATATGTGACTAGAACTGCACATAGGTCAGAAGGCACCATGATTTTTTATACCAGCAGGGAGATGCTTTCTGATTTATTTCAAATGTCTCTTTTGCTGTATATGGTCCAGCATTTTGTTGACATAATTTTGGCTATAACATTTCCTCACATAGCCATATAGAGAGATAGGAGTTATTAACAGTAAGTCACCTGACTTGCCGAGATCCAGCAAATGGGTCTTACCCCTTACCAGTAGAGATGTTAGATGGATGCCAGAGGTGGATGCTGGCAGTGGTTAAAGGTGTATGGGTAAAGTTTTCTGATACTGCATATTAAGTGGGTTTAGCTGAACTGGAACCCTTCCCATCCCTGGCGTGACTTTTGAGTCAGTCTTTTGAGGTTTCCATACAACTAGTCTTAGGCAGTATTTTTGGATAGAAATTTTGTCTACTTTCATTAAATAAGTTTTCAATAATAAACTAAATACCAACTGTAATCAACTGGCTTTTATAGAAAATAAGAAAAGACACATTTGATGAACTGATAATTTGATGTCTGAAACAGGACTTCTTGGGGTGCTTGAGTGGCTCAGTTGGTTTTGGTTATGGCTTCATGGGTTCAAGCCCCACACTGAGCATCGGACTCTGTTCTGGCATCATGAAGGCTGCTTGGAATTCTCGCTGTCTCCCTCTCTCTCTCTCTCTTTCTCTCTGTATCCGTCTCCCACTTGTGCTGTCTCTCTCAAAATAAATAAACTTAAAAAAAACGCCAGAACTTCTTTTGTCTATGTCAGGCCAGATTTAGGTAAAACTTAAAAGCAGGTGAAGCTTGTCTTCAGCATTTCCCTCCCCATTTCTACTGTGTCTCAGAGGTTTGATACAACTTGAAGGAGTCTCATAAACTCACCCTCTGGAAAGTATTAAATGATAATCCCTCAAGGTTTGTTATTCTTAGGAATATTTGCATTTCACTGCTAGTCCATGAAATAAAGTAATGAATCACTGGTACTGGAAATATTTTGTAGAGTTGGATGGGAGAAGTAGGTCATGCCTCTGCTTACCCATCAGGCTTGTTCTACTAAGTGAATGCCTTCATACTTGTTAAATATCAAATGGTCTGTATGGATATTGATACTTCTTTTCTCATAACCTCAAATATCCAATTTACTAAAATTAGCCACCTCATTCAATTTGCTCATATTGAGGATGACTCGTGTTTCATTGAGGTTTTTTTCTGGAATTCAAAGAGTTGGTGGGTGGTTAAGTGGGAAACATCTGGACCATACTAGAGCATCCAGCCATCCAGATGTACACTCTTTGTGGGCAGCATGCCATTTTCATGTGATTTTAATTAGTATCACATAAGTATTTGAATTCGGTAGACTGTTAACAAATCATACAAATTTTCTTTCAACAAGATAGCTAGATGGCCTTAAGCAATGAGTAAAAAACTTCAAACTCTGTAATTGGAGAAAATTGGGAAAGCTTCATACGTCAAGCCTGGTATCACAGAGCTGGCTGGGAACCCTGGCCTGAGAGTGACCTGGCAAAGGGTCCAGTCACGTAGTTTACACAGCTAATGCTGTTAGAATGGCACTTTTGGGGCGGGGGGTAGGGGGAGGGCGGGGAGGAGAAATTCCAGTGCTTTAGATCTTTTGCTGAATCATTTTAATGTGTTTTCTAAAGCAAATAAAAAACATCTGTAAAAAAAATAAAAATACTAGTGAATGGTGTGGAGCTTCTAATATTAGGCAGTTCTTTCTATCTGAAAATTCCTTTGTAGCTCACTTATGATCAAAGCCTTTTTGAGGAAAGAGCTATGAAATGTGCCTTGGACGAAATTTTGCTGTGCTGGCGGCAAGTTGAAATATCTTTTTGAGGTCACCAGTTTAAGGCTTAGAATGTTCTTTATGATTTAAGGTGCATCGTTTACACTTCAAATTACACCATAAGATATATTTTAAACCTTCACTGTGGTATGTGTTTCCAGATCTTGGCAAGGGTCTCAAATAGCTCCCCTGTAGAAAGAGCTTTCTCTGACAGATCAGTGAGATGGAGAGGACGTGACTAACACTTATCCCTGTTTTGCTTAAGACCACAATAGGGGGACGGCAGAACAGTGTGGTCCTGCAGAAACTGAAGCCTGACACTCCTTACACGATCACTGTGTCCTCCCTGTATCCTGACGGTGAAGGAGGTCGGATGACAGGAAGAGGCAAGACCAGTAAGTAAATCCAGACTCCTGTATGTTCTTTATTAGCTACCACTGGAACAGAATCACCTCTTTATCTGGAAACAGCGAGTGACACAGTTTTGCTAATCAAATTTTAAAATGCATTGACAAAATGATATTAATTGCTTATCCTTGCTTGGAGTTATCTGTCTCTGTTTATGGAGAAAGACATTTATTACTTTCTAGGACTGAAAAAGAAACCACTTTGGGGCCAAAATATTTTGTGGAGAGGAGACATGTGTACCGGATTACCAAAGAAATTCTTTTATTTATTCACTACTTCAACAAATATTTGTGGGGTGCCCATTATGGGGTCTCTGCTGTATTCAAGGTGCCTGGGAAATATCAACGAATGTGCATTTTGAGTGTGCTTCGTAGTTGGGATCATACTGTCATGTGATTTCTGTGCATTGCAGAACCTCTGAATACTGTGAGGAACCTCAGAGTATATGACCCTTCTACCAGCACCTTGAATGTTCGCTGGGACCACGCAGAGGGAAACCCTCGTCAGTACAAGCTCTTCTACGCACCAACAGCAGGTGGTCCAGAGGAACTGGTAATTACATCCTGTAGCGAAAAATGCATGTTTATTTAAACTGTAGCTGAATGAATTCAAAGTCAAGCTAAAAATGTTAACCAGTTTGCTTTAGGGCTGACGAAGTTCATATTCATTTAATAGAACTCAGTAGAGGGTAATAGGTTGCTGCCTTAGTGACAGGGTGATAGGAGGATTCTGGGAGGTTGAGCTGGGGGAAATAATTATTCCAGGAAGTTCTAAAGGGGGATCCTAGGGTGAGTGTCAGGGTCTAAAAAAGTCTTTATAAACTCTTGTAACAGTTCATATGGGCACATCTTTATATTCCGATATTACAGAACTTGCTTCTTGACTTGATCTTGAGTTAGTATTTTGAGTATTACATTGTTTGAGGTATTGTTTCTTTTACAAGTTTTTCAAGTCAAGTGCTTTACGTTTTATTAAAATCTTTAGGTACCAATCCCTGGGAATACGAATTATGCCATTCTTAGGAATCTGCAGCCAGATACCCCATATACTGTTACAGTAGTTCCTGTTTATACTGAAGGAGATGGAGGACGCACATCAGATACCGGAAGGACATGTAAGTTGAGAAGGAAGGAAAATTCTAGGTTTTTCATTATAAATTTTGCTTTTCATTATAAAGGCCGCATAGGCCTGTTAAAAATTTTTGGAAAATTCAGAATGATAGAATAACTACATAACAGGTACCTGCTATTTGTCTTCCAAACACCACCAACTGCTAACATTTTTGCACATGAAATAACAAATTTATAATGGCATTCTTCTGGGATGGTAATTTCAGGACTTATAAATGTGAATATGATCATTAGTATGCTATTTTCGTCATTCTCTTTCACCGACAAAAATTGATTTTGCTTTGCTTTGTGCTTTATAAATCTGTATGAAACAGTGTTTTGTAGTTGGCTTTCATAGCGTGAATTGTTGAAATGTGTTTATCACATTACTTGATTGCATGTTTCTCTGGTTTGCTGATGAAGTGCTTTTGGTCGTCAAAAATCTGTGTGCTTTCATTTGCTGTTAACATCTTGTGAAACCAGTTTAAAGTGGTTTTACTGTGCTTTGTAGTATTGCTTACAGGCTTTTGTGTTTACTAATAAATAATTTCTTTGGCCTTAAAAATATACTTGCTGATGGCTAAAAGGAAGTAAGTATAGATGGCTTCTTATGGTGAGAGATTTGTGCTCTGGAAAGATGATGTGATTAGCTAAAGTAGAGTTTGGGGTTAATGCATGGATTTAATTTGTATGTTTTTCTAAGGCCCTGTTGGGGAAGTTAATTGAGAACTGAGTGTATCTTCTATTTCTCCCTCTTTTTGACTTTTCTCTTAATCACAGAGCACCTCAGTAGCTATTTCTTGAATGAAGAAGGGTTGGATGAAAGAATGAATGATTGAAACCAGCCAGCTGAGTTAGATAGGCTTCATAGCTGTTGTCAGTTTGTACTGAGAAGGCAGACACTACAAAATTCCTTTTCTGTATCTCCATTATCTATGTTGGAAAACGAAAGTTTCTTTTCCAGTGTTGCCTCCCTTGTCCCTTGTCCTTTTATGGCCAGCCCAGTACTACTACTTGTACTAGCTTGTTTTTATTGGCAACAGTTTTGCTTCCATATAGAAAAAGGCCATAATTGGCTAACTTAGACTGAATTTGGATTTGGAGGGTTTTCATCTGCTTTTGTGGGTAGATAATTAGAAATTTAAGGAGGACAGTATTTTATCCTGTTACAGAGTATAACTCCCGAAGAAGCGATAACAAAAGCTTGACCTACATAAACAGACTTAAGAAATATGTGTTGGCTTTTCTTTCCTCAGTGGTGAGAGGGCTGGCAAGGAATGTCCAAGTGTACAATCCCACGCCAAACAGCCTAGACGTCCGCTGGGACCCTGCGCCGGGGCCCGTGCAGCAGTATCGCATCGTGTATTCTCCTGTGGCTGGCACAAGACCGTCGGAGTCTGTAAGCAATCTGGTCCTCTTTGAGCTCAGTAAAAGAGCTGTGTAGACTCTACTGCACCTCCTGCTGTGGCTGCTGGGCCAGACGGATAAGCCAGTTACTGGAGTGGCAGCGAGTCTCATGCAAACCTCATTTCCTGATGAGCTTAGTCTTGTGTTTGTGTCTTGTTTGGTAGCCTGTGTGAATGCCAACCACAAACATGACCATGAATAATGCTTAAACGATTGCACCTAATGATTTAAGGCGGTGTACTAAATTTAGGGTTAGTTAGCAAAGATGGATTTTGGGAAAATACAAGTCAGCTATATGAGTTAAATACCCCAGTAATAAATGCAAATCATTAACAGACCTTGTCAGTATGGGCTTTTGTTGTAATGTAGAAATGTCTGTGTTATGAAAATATCTTAAAGTTTGCCTTTACTGGCTCTTACAAGTTGCCCAGTCTGTTTCAATTCATATTACTATTTAGTTTTGTTTTTGTTTTTGTTTTTGTTTTTGAGAGAGAGATGAGAGGGAGTGGGTGTGCACATACACGCGCAAATGGGGGAGGGGCAGGAGAGAGAGAATCTTAAGCAGGCTCCACGCTCAGCACAGAGCCTGACTCAGGGCTTGATCTCACAACTGTGAGATCATGACCTGACCCAAATTCAAGAATCAGATGCTTAACTGACTGAGCCACCTAGGTGTCCCCTATTCAGTTTTATAAGTAGATTGATGATGTAGAAATCTGAAATTAGTAATTTGAATAGAAATAGTATCAGAACACCTAGGGAAAAGTAAATTTATGGACTAATTTACGTCTTTATAAAAATGGACAATGGCGGTGAACAAAGATAGACAAATGATTTGTATGTCTCTGTGTATGGTGGGACTTACTCAGGCAACATTGTCCTTGTCCATTTTATGGAGTAGCTCTCGATTTTAATGCAAAATCTCTCCCCTACTAGTGTGTGTGTGTGTGTGGGGGGGGTCCCTTCTCTTATGTGTGTCTAACAATCAGGATGCTCTGTGGGTAACTACCATGAGCCCTGGATTTGAGAATCTTTATAGTAAACTAAATGAGAGACAACTGAAGCTACTAAGGGTAGTTTAGCATGTTTAGTAGTTTAGTATGAACTAATTTTTTTTTTTTGGAGGGGGAATTTTTGAGGATAAATTGTATCTGATAGTGTGGCTTTGCCAGATCTCATGAGGAAGCACAGTGGTTGGCTTCTGACGTGCCTGGGCTCAGCTTTTAATTGTAAATGTTATTATGTTGACTAATAAAAAATTTGATAAGCATTTGAGCTGTTGTCAAGCAGAATTTGGCATTTCCTCCCCTCCAGATGGTGGTGCCAGGGAATACCCGCACGGTGCACCTGGAGCGGCTGATTCCGGACACACCCTATTCTGTGAACATTGTAGCTCTCTACTCCGATGGAGAGGGAAATCCCAGCCCTGGCCAGGGCCGAACGCGTGAGGCAGAAATCCTTTCTCCACCCCCTTCCCTTCTAACTAGGTTGGCAGGGCTTCTCCGAGTGAGTGAGAAGTGGGAGGTGGGTGCTGAGTGAGAAGTGGTGAGCACTGTCTCCATCTTTGCACAGACGAGAGTAGGCCTGGGTATGTGGTTCTGCCTGGGCATCCTCACGTTCAAATTCCAGGCTAAAGCTCTGGGCCCATGACTGCTGTCTGTGCTGAGGGAACTTCATTCTGCCATTTTCTCATCTGGGACCTAAGTTAAAGAGGAGTTTTTCTCTTCTTCTGCCTTGCAGTGGATCTTCTCACCAAGTGGGCACTTGAGAGATGTGAGGGCTTGGCTTCTATGTTTCATTAAACAGGAGGTGGTTTATAGTAGTTGAAATAATCCCTTTCTCTCCCAGTCTGTATATTTAGTTTCAAACATAAGGGAGTAAATATCCTAACGAATGTGAAACTTCCCCAAGTAACTCCTTTGTATCTTTGTAAAATTATCCTATGCCCCTTCTGCCACCCCCATGTCTGCCATGCTCACAAGTGGGCAACTAACTTTATTCTATTTTTATTTATTTAGTACCACGAAGTGGACCAAGAAATATGAGAGTCTTTGGGGAGACAACCAATAGCCTCTCTGTAGCCTGGGATCATGCTGATGGGCCGGTTCAGCAATACAGGATCATTTATTCTCCCACTGTTGGAGATCCAATTGATGAATATGTAAGTTCAGTTCTCATTTATTTGAGCATTTTATAATCTCTCACCTGGCAGGGGGGTGAAATTAAGTTGGTTTGTTTTTTTTTTTTCCTTTGAGAGTGTACTGTGATTACAGCTGAGTCCTTGACTCTTGGGTGACAGTCACATTTGTTATGACTTTCTCTGACACAATACTGACACAATACTTTCTCTGACCCAAATACGTCTAATGTGCCTCCCACGTTAGGGAGAGTCAATGTCTTTGGGCTCATTTTGTTCTAAAGACAGATTGAAAAATTGTCTTATTGCATGAAATACATATTTCTAGCCACCCAATTTTGTTCAGAACTAAGTCTAGTGAAACATGATACCTACTATTCTGAGCTACCTAAATTAATGTCCAAATGATGCGACCCTGCAAAGCCTATCCTTTCTTTAAATCTGATTTCTCTACAAGATGCCCCTTCAGTATTCCAGTGCTAACTGATGCCTCTTTTCTTTAAATTTAACATTTTTTGTTGCACTTTGGTTTTGGAATATAATATGCTGTCAAATTACCAGAAAACTTTTTATGTGTCACAGTGTCTCTCTTGAACCAGATTTAGGTTTCTTGTAACTTCCTCACAGCCCTCACCAGGCATATCCATTAGCTATGGATGGAAAAACTTACCACTTTTTAAAAAGTTTAGTGGTTAATTGAAGTGATAGGTCAATTGAAGATTACACAAAATGTTGATTATAAAGCAGCTAGGTCTGTGGTTTGCAATCATTCTGCCATAGACCTTCTTTGATCACCCCCCCCTTGGTTATCGTCATGTTCTATTTTATCTTTTGAACTTGATATCTTAAGCTTTAATTCAGACATCCATTTTTATTTATCAGAAACACATGCAATTGTCATTTAGAGTTTCCGATCAAAATGAGATACGCAGTATTACCACACTTAGTTTGCCAAAGCAGAGAAGCTCATGCTTTAGCATTTATTCAGCCTTGCATTGGACAAATGGTCAACTTCCCCCCTACTTTCTGAAAATATAATTTCTTCACCCAATTCACAATTCAGGGGACTCCATGCTGGGAACCACTGGCATAAGCAATGCACATTGTTTGTAGAGGTAAAGCATAGGGTTGGAAGAGAGATAGATATATCTGGTTCATTTCCTCTTCACGGGGGTAGTTGAATGTATTTTCCATTTCCTGTTTTTCGTCTTTTCCGCCTAATTAGTATCAGCCAAACTGATATCCCTGAGGGCAGACAAGGAGTCCATTTTTGTTCACCAAAGCATTCCCAGCAGCTGTTACCATTCCCACAGTGGCTGCGTGGTGGGAATTTGCTGTGGGAGTACATGAAAATGTAACACACATGGATGAGAGGTGGAGACAAACCTTGCTGCATGCTGCTGACTGCCGCAGTACCCAGTAATGTGCACCGAGGTGTTGTATGTGTTCTTACCTTTCATCCTCACCATTTCCTCCACGATTTTTCTGCTTAGTCACAAGGCTGATAAATGGCTGATCTGGGATTTGAGCCCAGATCTCTCTGACTCTAGAACCACTCTCCTGCCGCTGCACAGAGGCAGTGTAGACCTTGATTGAGCATTGTGCAACAAAAACAAAGGATGAAGAAACTGTTACTGTTTATAGAAATACATAAAACAATGTTGCCTTTTGATCTGGAAGCTCTCTAGTTGATAATTTGTCATTTAACTTCTTATAGACCACAGTCCCAGGCAGAAGAAATAATGTAATGTTGCAACCCCTGCAGTCTGATACTCCATATAAAATTACTGTTATTGCTGTTTATGAAGATGGAGACGGTGGCCATCTAACAGGAAATGGAAGAACTGGTAACTGTCTTCATCCTTTTATAATCTTTAAGTTTTTCCTTTACCAGTACATCCCAAATATTACATTAATACTGCATTAACATTTATATTAAACATTGAATTTTGTCAAAATGATATGGAAATAGAATTTGTATTTTAACTTTTTAAAAGTCCCCTAAAAGAAGAAAAAGAGACAAAATCTGCATATTTTGCTTTGCTTGAGATAGTTTTGTTTCTCCTTTGGAAAACCATTGTTTCTCCGAATAATGGTTTAGTTTGTGTGGTATCAGTAAAGGATGTAGCTGTTAACTCAGTCAATTTAGTATCAGCAAAAAACACTGTATCATGATAAAATGTTAAGTCACAAATAAAGAAGCAAGATGATTGGTACTCATCTCTGTCTTTGCAAATTTAGCTTTTTTTTCTGTTGTACCAAGTAATTTACAGAAAATTATTAGTGTTCGGATCCCCCTTTTTTTTAATATATGAAATTTATTGTTAAAATGGTGTCCATACAACACCCAGTGCTCATCCCAAAAGATGCCCTCTTTTTTTCAATGCCCATCACCCACCCTCCCTTCCCTCCCACCCCCCATCAACCCTCAGTTTGTTCTCAGTTTTTAAGAGTCTGTTATGCTTTGGCTCTCTCCCACTCTAACCTCTTTTTTTTTTTTTTTCCTTGCCCTCCCCCATGGGTTTCTGTTAAGTTTCTCAGGATCCACATAAGAGTGAACACATGTGGTATCTGTTTTTCTGTGTATGGCTTATTTCACTTAGCATCACACTCTCCAGTTCCATCCACGTTGCTACAAAGGGCCATATTTCATTCTTTCTCATTGCTCGGATCCCTTTTCTTTATTTTTTTCTTTTTTAAAAATAAAGTTTACTTGTTTTGAGAGAGAGAGAAAGAGAGAGAGCATGCAGGGGAGGGGCAGAGAGAGAGAATTCCAAGCAGCCTCCTCACTGTTAGTGCATAGCTGATGCGGGGCTCCTGACCTGAGCTGAAATCAAGAATCTGAAGCTTAACCAACTGAGCCACCTGGGCTCCACGGTGGGCCCCTTTTACAGCTTACACTGGTGTCAATTTCTTATTGTTTAGAGCAAAGGTCCTCCAAGTTGGTTGCTCCCTGAAATTACCTGAAGAGCCTTAAAACCCCCAGAGATACTACTGGAACTGGTTTGAACTGTAACCTGGATCCACTTATGTTCTAGCGCACAGCCGAGATTCAAAGTCATTGGTTTAGCATAAAGGCAGGCTGGGCTATATAGGTCTGAGTTCTGTTACCGGTAAATATCAGTGTTCCTCTTTCCACTTCATTCCGCAAAAACCCACTAAAGTAAATGATTTCAGGTTCCTTGCTACACTCAGTTGCCCAAACACTTTCAGTGCTTAAACAATCTTGACATTACAAAATTTGGGGGAGGTGACATTTGAAAGTTCCCAAGAGAAAAATAAATACCTGTAGAGTTGTTTTATCTCAGCCTCTCAAGGCCAAGAATTTATATATTTATTGATACTTATTGTCTGCAGGACTGAGTCAATGGAGTCTCAGTTCAGCGACTTGACGATTTAAATTGAACAACTTTTCACTTTTCACTTTCCCTTAGGTTTTAGAATACTCTCTGGTACTTTTCTTGGGAAATGGCATATTTTAGAATTTTGTGCTTATCAAAATATAAAAAAAAAGTCTTTACCAGACTTAAATTTTCAAGGAAGTGCCAAAGCCATTTCCAGTTTCTCTTGCAAGAAAAAAAAAAAAGTGTTTAAGTTGAATCCTTTATAATATATGTTATGTATCTAATAATATAAATAAAAATAATAATGCAGTAACTACTCAGCATGCTACCTAACAGCATTGGTTTTACAGGGTGTGGAGTTGGAGGCAGTACCCCTGGAGATTGATTTGCTCTAGGTTATGATGGGGGAGGATAGAAGGGTGCTGGGAAAGAACATCATTTTGGTCACCAGCGAGCTGTGTGGTCTTGGGCAAATCAAATCTTATTTATGTGATAAGGTGGTTGGACTAGACAGTTTCTAAATTGCTTTTTGGCTCTAACAATCTGTAATGTATAACATGCTACAAATAGTATGAGATCTCTTGTATTTTCTGTTAATCTGCATTATATAGCCTAATAGCTCTGGGAATCATCAGTTTCTGGGGCCATTTGAGTTACTGTTTGAATTTGGAAAACTACTAAGTTTCCCGTTGAACATTTCACAGCTTTGAAATTGTTTTCTGGATGAGGGCATCTTATTAAATTATTGTCATGGGACCGCGCAATCAATACTCATAATGTCCTATGCTCTCTGTATGGCTTATTTCACTTAGCATAACACTCTCCAGTTCCATCCTTGCTTGTCAATGAGAGGTCAGTAATGTGTGCCAATATTTGTTTGCAGTGGGACTGCTTCCACCTCAAAACATACACATCTCTGATGAATGGTATACGAGATTCAGAGTATCCTGGGACCCTTCACCCTCTCCGGTTCTTGGATATAAAATTGTGTATAAGCCAGTGGGTAAGGAAATACCTTTATTGCCATACAAATGCATTAAAGAGTTTATTGTTTATGAGGGAGTCTTTACCGCATCCTCGGTGATTAGATTCTCTTGAGAGTTTGGTTGTCACATCAAGCCCTCTCCCACTAGAGGCAATATTTTTGGAAATAATGTTCTAAGCCTATGGTCTGAAGTGTCATTGTTACTATGGGTGTAGATGAGACTCTCCTTATATTGCATGATTATGAAGTTTGGTCTGGTTCATAAAATGACACAAATGGAATCTGTGTTCAGATATTCTATACGTTATTATGATTGTGAAATAATGCATATTTAATCAATATAAACTTCTGTGTTTTCCCATTATGTCAAGGGCATATGCATTTTAGTTTATTCCTGACAGGCTTGCTTTCAACTTCCCATTAACATTTACACCTAAGTGGATATCACCTTGATTAAGTGATTTGCTATCTCTGTTTCTATGTTCTGCCTGTATGCTTAGCAAAATGGAAGAAAAGTGCTCTTTGTACCAAATTTGTGAGGGTATCGTTTACGCACCCAGAAAGGGTGTGAGCTATGAAAAACAAAGGAGAGAGGGCAAGAGAAAGGAAACGTGAGCTTCGAGAGAGAGAGCTTAAAGGAGGAGAAGGTGTTGCTAATTGAGGACCTTCAGGAACCAAACTCATGGAATAAGAACCAAAATAGAATTTCTTTTCTTTTTTTTTAATGTTTATTTTTGAGAGAAAGAGAGTGAGCAGGGGAGGTGCAGAGAGAGAGGGGGACAGAAGATCCAAAGTGGACTCTGTGCTAACAGCAGAGACCCCTATATAGATGGGGCTCAAACTCACAAGCTGTGAGGTCGTGACCTGAGCAAAAGTCGGACGCTCGGCTGCCTGAGACAACCAGGCACACCCCAAGATAGAATTTCTTAAATCATCTCTATAACAAATTGGAAAAATGTTAACTGAGCACCTACTATGCACAAAGCACTATGCTGCCAAATTGGGGCTTAGAGAAGAGGCTTGACGGGTCTAGGGTAGTTACTATCATTAAAGGAGCATTGATTACAAACCTACTACGTTCTAGGTACTGTGCTATGTATGCTTTGATTATAAGAGGGTGAAGAATTCAGTCTCTGCTTGTAGTTTTGTATTCACCATATAATGAAACATGTGCTACAGTGAGCAGGTGCAGAAGGGGCTGTGGAATTAATGGTGTTCCTACCATCGTTTGAGTATAAGTTATTTGATTTTAAGGAAAATTTGAGACTAGTGGTGGCATATTTCTATGTATTTTTGTGATTGTTCTTAAAGGTTCCAATGAGCCCATGGAAGTTTTTGTTGGAGAAATGACATCATACACATTACACAATCTCAATCCCAGCACCACCTATGATGTGGATGTTTATGCTCAGTATGATTCTGGACTCAGTGTCCCCCTGACGGATCAAGGCACTACATGTGAGTGACATATCTTCTCATGGTTGTAAGAAAGAGTGTGGTGCAGATTGCCAGGTCAGCCTGTTCTAATTTCATTTCTTCTTAACATATGCATGTTTCCTCGGCATTAAGGAGGTGGCCCTTTGTTGTCTAGCCACACAAATATATAAGTAATATAATTGAGTATACAAAAATGTATGTGACTTTTTTTTTATTTCTTGTAAAATATGTTTTGAATTTTGAAAGATAAAAAGTATAGAAATTATGATTTTATCCATGAATTATCTGTAAAATTAGATTTGGAATGCCATGTAGTTTTTTTTTTGACATATGTGATGCTAAAACATATATTACTTAAATGATTGATTCAATTGAAAATTTTCACAGAAATGCCATGATTAATGACTTGGCCCAAAGATAGATTTTGTGGTCACCAAGTAGTTAATAACCATTTAAGGACTTAGAAGATAGCCTTTTAGAAAAATTTCTTATTATTATTTTACATGAGATGTCTTGGTTCTTTGTAGTGTCCAGAGGGACTATGTAGAATTTCTTTCCCTTGAGAACTAGTGATAGAACAGGAGGTCTGTTTTAGCTGTACCACATTTTCCTGTATGTTTCTTGTATGTTTCTTACAAGGAAACATACTAAGAACATAGGCATTTGTTTTTCAGCTACAGTGGAAGTTTTAAAATTGTGTTTTGATTAAAAGTATGCATTTTTGTCTTTATTCATGAAGTAAATTTGTTTTTCCTTTCTTTCTTTCTTTCTTTTTTTTTTTTTTTTTTTTTTTTTTTTTTTTTTCTTGTAGTGTATTTAAATGTGACAGATCTGAAAACTTACCAGGTCGGGTGGGATACGTTCTGTGTTAGATGGTCACCTCACCGGGCAGCCACCTCCTACAGGCTAAAACTAAGCCCTGCAGATGGTATGTGTGTAACAACAACAAACAAACAAACAAACAAACAAATTAAAAAAAAAAAAAAGGACTGGGCACAGAGTAGCAACATTTTAAACTTCAGTAATGGAGATGCTATTCTGTCTACAAAATTATATATAAAAATGTCTTTACATATATTTGATGGTGACACTGGCATTTTCCTTTGTTGTCATAATCAGGAACCAGAGGACAAGAAATTACAGTGCGTGGATCGGAAACCAGTCACTGCTTCACTGGTCTTTCACCAGAAACTGATTATGGTGTCACTGTTTTTGTGCAGACACCAAATCTTGAGGGACCTGGAGTCTCTGTCAAAGAACATACCAGTAAGTTTTTGAGTAATCTGAAAGTCTCTGTAAGGTGTCAGAATAGAGTGTTCTACGTGTGGGAGACTTTAGTGGCTCCGGTGTAGACACTTCTCCCTTTGGGCAATAGTAATGATTGGAATGATGGCAGATTCATGAAGAAGGAACCTGTGGCTGGTTCAGGACTTTCATCTACAGCAAATCCATGTTGTCCCTGTTACAAGAGTTGGTGTTATTTTAAGGGAAGGGCTACAGGAGGGAGATACGGCTTTTGCTGGCAGTGAGAAGGTGAATATGCACTCGTATTAGTGACCTTTACTCATTTGACCCTATTTGAAGGCCTTTCATCCACCCTTTGAATTGTCATTTTGCTTTCTGCAGCTGTTGTCAATGTTTGAATGACTACCAATGATATCAAATTTGGATACAATAGAATTTCCAGTATATCAGTGCCAATGAGACTTGATTTGTTATCTAGGACTTAAATTGCTCTTAACATGCGCTTCCTGTGATATGAAATTTGCACAGGTTATATTCTTCTAATTATTATTTTTTAATTCCAGCTGTGAAGCCAACAGAAGCCCCTACGGAGCCTCCCACACCTCCTCCCCCTCCCACAATTCCACCAGCCCGGGAAGGTAAGTACAGCATGTTAGGCAGTACATTCAGCTGATAGGGATTTATAGCCTTATTTATGTAGCCTAGACGCTACTTCCGACTGATATAGGCTATTTCTGATTTATCATCTTTGCTGAAGAGTTTTTAGATTAAAAAAATAAAAAGATTACCAGTAATTGTTCTTCTCCCGCTCAGGCGGGAGTGTGAATGAACTCAGTCATAAGCTATAGCTCTTCAGTTGGAACTCTCTTTCCTCAATTTTGCAGATTAATGTCTAGTGATACTTTGCATTGTCCATAGTCCCATGGTGGGCATTTCTTTTTCCTGGATGCTGACATCAATAGGCATTGTGAACCTTTTTGGCTGTATCTTCAACCTACACCTGGGGCCTTCGGCTTTGGAATTCCTGGCTTCTGCCCTGGATTGCACAAAGTTAAAAAATGTTCATTCAATGCAGTTTTGAGACATAATTGTCACTTGCAGGGAACTGGCAAAAAGACATAGTGAGCTAACAGAACTGGTGTCTCAGTACTTTGGGGGCACTTCTCAGTGTTTTATCAGATCAAGTTGAAGCTAATTAACTACTGCTTTATTCTTTCCCCACGTTTCTGTTTCTGGCACTTAACTGAAAGAATTTCAGATTTTATAAGTATTTTTCTTTTGTCTTAGAGGGCTCTAGAATGCTTCAACTTTATTAAACCTACTAAATAAAATAAAAAAATTAAAAATGTATTCTTATATGATAAAATAATACTATATAGGGTAAATTGTATTATAGGGTAAAATAATAATGGGTTTCTTTAGACTATTGAAAGAAATTCAGTAAAAAACCTTGTCCTAAAATATATTAAATTTTTCTTAATAGACTTTTTTTTTTTTTTTTTGAGAGAGAGTATGAGCAGGGAAGGGGTAGGAGAGGGAGAGAGAATCCCAATCTGGCCCCAGCACAGGGCCAGATCCTATGACTGTGAGATCATCACCTGAGCCGAAATCAAGAGTTGGAGGCTCGATGGACTGAGCCACTCAGGTGCCCTAGACTTTACTTTTTAAAGCAGTCTTAGCAAAATTGAGCTGAAAGTACATAGAGTTCCCACATACAACCTGCCCCTCTCACACATAGCCTCCCTCAGTATCAACACTGAACACCAGAGTGGTGCATTTGTTACCATCGGTCTACACTGACACATAATTTTCATCCATAGTCCACAGTTTATGTGAGGTTCATTCTTGGTGCTGTATGTTCTACATGTTTTTATATACTAAAATTTTAATTTTTTTAACCCTCCAGGTCTGAAAATTCAAATCAAAGATAATTTATTCCTTCCTTTCCCTTACTCTGTATGATTCTAGTGGCCTAATTTAAAATGAAAAGACACCTAATTTGCACCAAATCTTTGACAATTATGTAAAAACCTCCAGACCCACTGATGGGTATTCTTAAATTCTAGACATTGTTGCTTTTCATTTTATTTCCTCCTCATCTATTGTTTGAAACCACTTGAGAAGTTCCACAAGGAAAGAGCATATAGTTGCATAATGGATCTAAGCAGGTGGAGTAATTCCAGACCAGAAATTAAGGGACAATTAGGCTAGTGCTTCTCAAACTTTATTGTGCATGTGAATCGTCAGGGTACCTTGTCATTGCTAATCTGATTCAGGAGGTCTTGGGTAGGGCCCAGATTCTGCATTTCTAAGAAGCTCCCAGGAATTGCTGCTGCTGCTGAAGACTACTTTGGGTAGGGGGTGTTGGGCTACACTTCTCAGCTTTGTAACTTCATTTGAGTAAAAGAATTCATGAGAATTGGGGTTTCTCTGTTTTTTCCCCCCAGTATGCAAAGGGGCCAAGGCAGATATTGTATTCTTGACTGATGCCTCCTGGAGTATCGGGGATGACAATTTTAACAAAGTTGTAAAATTCATCTTCAATACTGTGGGAGCCTTTGATGAAATCAGTCCTGCTGGAATTCAGGTGGGTGCTGTTTCATAGTGGCTATTCATTTGTAAGGTCTTGCTATTTCCTTTGAATTTCTCTTTTTAAGTAGAAAGGCTTTTCTGTATAAACTATGTTTTGACTTTTGTTATTTACTATTTTTCTTTACACATGTATTTTTGGGAAGGAGTTGGATATAAATGACAAATAGAAAAATAAATCCTTCCGTAGATATTCTCTTGGCTAGATGATACTGCTTTTGGAGAATTTAGGGCATTCTGACTCTGACTTCCTGCTTAAGACTTCCGACAATGATACATTTCCATAAAAGGTCATCTAATGTTCTGGAAATTAAATGCATTGTGATTGTCAATCCCTATTAAGATAGAGGACACAGTGATGAGCAGTGACTGGCGTGGGTGTGTGGCGTTTCATACTTCATCACTGTGGCATCTTTGATTATAAAAATAAGAGATTTTGACATAAGCCACACGTAAGTTCATAAACAAATCATGTATTCTTTTATGGAATATACTAAATTTAAAATCCCCAAATAATCCTGTGAACATTTTTCCAACCCAAGAAGAGTAAAAAATTCAAGCTAGTTATAGTCTTAAATTAATGTTTTAGCAATTAAGCCATTTTTTTCATCCATTCAGACACTGAGATTTCTAATAAAAAGCAAAAAATAGCTACTGTGTCATCTACTTTATATACGTGATTATCAGTCCTTAACATGACTCTGGAAAGTAAGGATAGTTATCTCCATTTTACTGATATGGAAATGAAAGCCCAGAGAGGTGCAGAACTTCCCCTATGTCACACAGCTACTAAGAGGCAGAGCTAGGATTTGAGCCCATTGAATTCTGACTACAAAGCCTGTACTCTGTCTAGTAAATTACACTAAGTTTGTGGTGAGTGCTGATTATTAGCACACATACAACATTTTAATCTTAAGATGAAGAATGAATGCAATTAGTGAGAAGAAGCAGTTGGCTAAGGACCAAATTGCTTAGCCAACATTTGAGTTCAAGATGGTGTGTTCTCATTTCTAATCCTGGGACCTCACTCTTCCCTAGCCTTGCCCATCTCTTCCTACATCCTAGAGAAAAGATGTGAATACTATATGAATACAGCATATTTACAATGTTAATATCAATTATTGGTGGTTTCATTGAAGATTAGAAATTAGTAAATTTAATGAGACAATAGTAGTCAGTGTTATAGTGTTAGCTATAAAGAGCTTATAATAGTCTGTCAAATCTAGGATATTTATTTTCCCCATTCAACAGCAGGAGGAGCCACTGGAAAATTGAACTATAGAAAGAGGTGTCTTAACCTCACCACCAACTACATTCCCTTTCAGGTCTCATTTGTGCAGTACAGTGACGAGGTCAAGTCTGAGTTCAAGTTGAACACGTACAATGACAAGGCCCAAGCCCTTGGGGCCCTCCAGAATATTAGGTACAGAGGAGGAAACACAAGAACAGGTACAGTTAATCAACTGTGAACGTAGACCTTCACTCTCCAAAGCATTTGGAGTGGTAGAACTGAGTGTACTACCACATTCTGATATTCATATTCTTCTCAGTTGAGTGTGTCTATTGGCATTTGGATAGTTTTCACTGAGGTGACAGTACAATGTTCCCTGCAACACTCTATAGGCAAAGCTCTCACGTTTATCAAGGAGAAGGTCTTGACCTGGGAGAGCGGCATGAGGAAGAATGTCCCCAAGGTGCTGGTTGTGGTCACAGATGGTCGGTCACAGGATGAGGTCAAGAAGGCAGCTCTGGTCATCCAGCAGTCGGGTAAGCACAGGCATGAATTTGATGTCTAGTGAGCGCACTCATTATCTTAACAGTTTTACATGTTCAGGAATGATTGCGAAAGATGAAACTGCTGATTTTACTTTATTTTTCCTGTTTTACTCTGGAGTCCATACCCTTGAAATGTTAGTTTATATTTAATTTGTGGATGGTTTAGTAAGTGCTGAGAAATGACATGGTGTGTATACATATATATGTGTGTAAGATGTGACTTGGGGTATGTAAAAGAGCAAACCTAATTTCCCCATCATGGCTAGAAGGCTACAGAATGCAGTAATGGGATGGTCCCAGAGCAGACTTCCTACCATAGCAGAAGTGAATTTTGATGCTGGTTCCCTGTGCCAGGAGAAACATAGGGAAGCCTTTAGCTTTAGCACATCCTTGCAGATACAGTCCCAATGCAGATTGCTGAAAGGAGGAGGAGGAAGATATCTTTGAAGTGGACCTTGACAATCAAATATCCTGAGAGCCTCCTGGCAACACGGATTTGGATTCATTATTTAGGATTACTAGAGATGAAATTAGGTCTCACCAGCACTTGCGTTAACGCCCTCCACACCCCCAAATCCCAACTCCCAGGTAGAGTCCAAGGTTAACATATTTTAGAGAGAATTCTATTTTGTGCATGATTGACTGTAGTAAATTTAGAAAGTACTTTGTTATATGGAATTTTTCATCGGCACATACATAATTCTTTGGCTAAAAGCATGAGTCATGATTAGTGCTAAGTCATACTGTCTTCTTTCAATACAGATTGTTCTTTGTACTGACTTTTCTTTTTAAATAAGTTATTGCCTTTATTTTTTTAAGTTTATTTATTTGAGAGAGAGCAAGCGAGCATGGGGGAGGAGCAGAGAGAGAGGGAGAGACAGAATCCCAAGCAGGTTCCACACTGTCAGTACAGAGCCTGACATGGGACTCAAACCCACAACTGTGAGATTATGACCTGAGCCTAAATAAAGAGTCGAACGCTTAACTGACTGAGCCACCCACTCATTGCATGAGTGCAATGTCATGCACTTAGAACAGATATCTACATATTTTGGGCTTTTGGTTGATTTAAGTTTGGGGTGACGCATGCTTGCTCAAGTTACCTTATTTATATCTCATTAGAGAACTAATTTCTTATATAGTCTACTTTTTTCTACTTTCAGACTAAGCTTTTGGAGTGAAGTCTTTGTTTATTTGTGTTAGCCTAAATAAATGAAAGTTTATTTCCACTGGGAATTATAGATTCCATTTCAAGAGTGGCCAAAGTGCTGCCTTTGAGCCTGAGTTGTTGAGAAAATCAGTTTCAAGAACTCAAAGTTTAAAATGAGCCCATTCTTGGTTCCTGAATTACGTAAGCTTAAAGTGTTAATGGTGCCTAAGAGAGCTGTCGAATGGTTGGGTCTGTTAGGACTATGGATCTCTGGAAGGAAATGTGCACCACATCAAGTCTTTATGCTGTTAAGATGTGCGCCTTTTGTTAGGATTTTATTTTAGGAAACCCAAATAATTGAGTTTTCTAAGCCAGAAAACAGGAAGACCTGGAAAAGTCCAAGAGAGTTTATGTCCATTAAAAGGACTTACTGCATATACTGAGAAAAATGCAGTGTCATTTCTGAAAAGGTTTTATTTTGAACTGCTGAATAAAGTATGGAAAAGGGGACATGTAATTCACTCTATAAACACTGCTCTGCAGGGTTCAGTGTCTTTGTAGTCGGTGTGGCTGACGTTGACTACAATGAGCTCGCTAACATTGCCAGCAAACCGAGTGAACGGCACGTGTTCATTGTGGATGACTTTGAATCTTTTGAGAAGATTGAGGACAACCTTATCACGTTTGTCTGTGAGACTGCCACTTCAAGTAAGTCATGGTCCAGATGGATCCACAATCTCACCTGTTTTGGAAGAAAACGACTTAGTAGACAATGGCCTGTCCTGTATGGGATCAGGTCCGTGAGTAAATAGATTCGGGGAAATCGCTTGGGAACCTGATGAATCATTGTTCCTATTGAGATCATGCTAAATGTGTGTTTGTCAGAGGTCTGCTTTTAGCCTTGAGGATGTAATATTCCTTGTATGGAAATGAAGTGTTTTAACATATCCTTTTCCCACCGTCCCAATGCTGTGACGTTTGAGTAAATTAATCTTCAGCTTAGAAATGCATTTATAGAAACATTTCTGTGAGATGAAGGTTTTCCCTATTAGTAATCAATTGGTATTTGTTCTGTCAACATCCGTGCTTCAAGGGAGCAAGGAAAACACTGACTTTTGTGTGTGCACTCCATAGAAATTCACTTGGTCCTCTTTTGGTTTTTTGGGTGTAGATTTTTCTTGTTTTTGCCAAGACTTCAATGAACTTGGAGCTTTTCAAATACAGCGAAGGACCAAAGATCAATTATTTAAGTCAATTTATCCTCTTTCCCACCTGTAAGCACCGATTCTTGGGGTGTTATGGAGACACTTATGTGGCTAGTATTAGACCCCTGGTCCTAGGGAGGGCTACGCTTCACAGGTGTTATATCTTGCCTTCTCACACATTACTAAAAACTCAGAGATGTGCTTAGAGGTGGCAGCAGTGAACAATAATCTGGGGTTTACTCTCAGAACTCATGCCAAAGCTCAGAATGGAATTGCGCAGGGGAGGGAGGTAGTGGGCCTGGAGGTACCATTGCCTCCCTTGCGGTTCTGGGGTCCTGAAAGCCACCCTCTAGGATCCCTGGGTCTGGGGGCCTAGGGTGAAAACTGTCACATGCTTGTCACCGCTGTGTGACGTCCAATAGCTGACATGGGGCTTGGGGGGTTGGAGGGGTTGGCAGACAGCTGAATAGGGACAAACTTCTGCCTTTGCTTAAATCTAAAATCCACGGGGAGAAGAGTTCTTTAATCTATTGAAAAACATCTGAAAATTTCCCCCTTCAATTCTGTTTTTGCTATTTGTAAGAATACTGTAAAATTCCCACTGGGACTGGAGGATTTTCAGAAAACATTGGTTATACCAGTTAGCACTATAATTTCTCCTACACAAAGGAAGTCTACAAGAAATCACTTATAAAGGGTTAGATGGATGTTATTTTTGTAAATGAACGTACACTCCCATGACTTGGTATATGTACATAGCTGCTTCGTGTGCGTGTGTAATGTTTGTGTATCATGTGGCTGAATCGAACTCAGAGAACATTGTATGTTGCAGGTTGTCCTCTCATTTATTTGGACGGCTACACCTCACCCGGTAAGCATTTATACCCTTGGACTAACTTATTTCCAGATTTAAGCAACAAAATAATTAAAAGGACCTAATTTTGATCTTTTCTTTTCTGGTGTAAAGGTTTTAAGATGCTTGAAGCATACAACCTGACAGAAAAGAATTTTGCTTCCGTACCAGGAGTCTCTTTGGAGTCTGGGTCTTTCCCCAGCTACTCAGCATACAAACTTCAGAAGAATGCGTTTGTGAATCAGCCTACAGCGTAAGTGTGACGAGGAGTTTCTTTCTCTTATCATGGGCCTGACACTTTTTTGCAGCTCTTAGAATTTTTGCTGACTTCTTAAAATCTAGAAACTTTAGAATTGTCAGAAGTCTCCTCATGGATGACTTAGCTTAGTTTCCTTAAATACAGTCGGTTTAAGTGTCTTCCCCATCGGGTCACACAGGAGACTAAGACTCCAGCCTTACTATTCTCAGACCCAAGAATCTCATCCTGGTTCTGAAATATTATGGATAATGGACCTTTTAGGATTTAAGGCTAGGATTGTAGATTTAAGGCTTCTTCTAAGGGAGGCTGTTTAAGCAGGAAGGCAACTAATTATTTTGAACATTTCTTCCTGTGGTGCAGAGGGACTGAATGGAATAAATGCCGAATGAGAGCCGGCATTCTTTTTAATGTTTCAGATCTGCAGAAAATGAAGTATTGTGGCACTTTTGCTTGTCCAAGATCAGACAGGCAGCGGTTAGTTTTTATTGGCCAATGCTCTGGCAATCTGTTGGGTAGCGCTAGCTGTTGTTATTTTACTTCATGAAAGTTGGCACCTGGTAATCATAACTAAAATATGTATTTTTTATTCATTAGAATTAAAACACTTTAATATGTGTTTGGCAGCTTATGGGAAGAAAAGAACAAGAAGAAATAAAGCCTTTAGAAACTTAGGACAGGGTCAGAAAATGATGTCTGAAATTTGAAATGCTCTGGGAAAGCTGATGGAAAGTTCAGAATAAAACCAAAGCTAATTTCTTTTAAGAAAGCACAGATCATATTGTTGTAGTTTGACCACACTGTAAGTTCCTAACTCTTTTATGGTTAACCATGATGGTTCACAGTTTTAGGTTTGTCAGTGAATCTTAATACCCGGTGTTTAACTTCAGTCACCACAAGGTATGATTCCTACATTTAATTTGTGACAGCCTACTGTGTTCTCAAGAGTCAGAACTGTGGCTGAAAGACAGAAGCATGAATGCAATTACACCTTTTTTTCATAAGCACTCATTAACTAATGGAGAAACATGCACTGGGTGAGAGATGAATTAATATGGAGAAGATATTATTTTTAACATGGAATATTATGGAGATAGCAGGTTTTTGCACTTATGAAAGGCATCATGTCAGCATGCTGAGAACATACGTTTTAAGAAGCAGGGCGGCATTGTGTTCCAGAAGTACCAGTGGTGTGGTACTAGGACATGAAACCTTCAGAGACATTCTGTGCCCTCCGTCAAAATTTGTGGAGGAACAGCTTCTTTTCTGTCCAAGAGTTGATAATTAAAGCCTTTTCGCTACCTTCAGGAAGAAAGCATTATTAAATGGTCTCACACAGAAAACCATCAATCCTGCTTCAGAGATTCCCCCGGAACAATGACTGACTCAACTCTGGAAGAGCACATGGGACCACATTTTTTGTCTAATGGCTTTAGAGCCAAGAAGCATTTCCTTTTAATTGAATCACATCCTTTATCTTCACTAAACGTTTGCACATGTACATGGGCTTAACGTTTATTACTGGTTTTATTTTTGGGAACATGTGAGCTTCTGGAGATTATGTGATTTATTTGATTTCAAGGGAGGAATTTGGAAGTGTAAAAACTATTAGAGATAGGCAAGGAGAAATTAAAACCTTAAGCTGTATTACTCATGATCTCATTCCCCTGACATTGGAAATTAAGCATATTTAGTAAGATTCATTTTCTTAAAATTACATCCATAGATACAGTGTCTATCACTCTAAAATCATTATGTAATTTTATAATCATATTTGTGTCTAGAAACAATCAACAGTAGGATATTAACAGTTATTAACGGTAGGATAAAAGACCATTGGGCAATTTCCCAGACTTTTGCAAATTTAGCCAATTGTAAATAATCTATTAACTACTTACATAATAGATCTTTAGTGTTTGCTCTTTTGATGTGTTTCCTAAATTTTTCCTTTTCTAATATGTCGCCAGATTATTATGACTAGCTTCTAATACTGCTGGTAATGAGTTTATTGTACAAAGATTTAAAATATTCTCTATTTCTGGTGAGAAATCTTTGTTAATTAACTAATCAGTTATGTTTTATCCAACAGAGATCTACACCCAAATGGACTTCCTTCTTCATATACAATTATATTATTGTTCAGACTTCTCCCAGAAACTCCCAGTGACCCTTTTGCAATTTGGCAAATCACAGATAGAGACTATAAACCACAAGTTGGAGTAATTGCAGATCGTAAGGATTTTTATCTTATTTTAAGGCACATGCATACTACTTTTGATTATGAATCCTCTTTCCTTTTCTTTAAAAACCTACTGAATATATATAATTACTTGATACATGATTTTTTTGTTTAAAAATACAACGTATTGGTAAATATTCTAATTTAATCTCAACTGAAATTATTGAATATTTTAGAAATCTCTCCAACAAGAATCATTAGTTAATATTTTCCACATAAAGTATACCATGCATGTGATTTAATAACAATTATGTGTTGGTTACAGCTTCTAGCAAGACATTATCGTTCTTTAACAAGGATACAAGAGGTGAAGTGCAAACTGTTACATTTGACACAGATGAAGTGAAGACATTATTTTATGGCAGTTTTCACAAGGTAAAAACATAAAATATCTGATTATTTATAGAAAAAGGATATGATTTAAAAATTCAAACTAATTTATTATTTATTAAAAGGTCATGTTAAATTGGTAGAAACATAGCTATGTCTTTTAAAACCAAAATCTTCTTTTAAAGAATTTGATTAATTTGAGAATATTTAAAATAAAACAGTAAGGGGCGCCTGGGTGGCTCAGTCGGTTAAGCGCTCGACTTTGGCTCAGGTCATGATCTCATCGGGCTCTGTGCTGACAGCTCAGAGCCTGGAGACTGCTTCAGATGCTGTGTTTCCTCTCTGCCCCTCCCCTGCTCACACTGTCTCTCTGTCTCTCAAAAATGAATAAATATTTAAAAAATTTTAAATAAAACAGTAATTCTACTAACAAGGAGATAATTATTACTAACATGCTGATATGTTTTCAATGCTAATATCTTCAAAATTTGAATCATGTAGTAGGTATAGTTTTGTATGCCTATTTTTTCTACCTACCATTTTATTGTGAACCTTTATGTCATTTCATTTCAAAAGCTTAATTTTTGTGGATAGTATTTTAATTGATAAAAATAATTCTTTCATAGAGCACAGTAAGCTGCTTCTGCTTGTTTACCAAAGAGTTACAAGCATGCTAGTCCGAAAGTTATGATTATTTACTAAAGTAATTAAAATATTTATGAGAAATATTTATCTTACATGAACACATTATGAATTCTCTAAAAAATATTATTAAAAGTTCTAAGATGCATTCTTAGGGGATTGTCTATTCTTGTTTATCTTCATTAAAATTTTTTGTATGTCAACATTAGAGGATAATACGCAAGTTCTATCAAATTTCTAAAGGACGATTAATTGACAAATAAGTACTACAGTTGGGAGCATTAGAAATGAAAAGAGCCATCTAGGTTAGAGTGGGCTTTTTAATGGTATTCCGTCATTCATTGGATTGAGTTAACAGGAGGAATAGCACTTGTGTAACAGTAAGGCACTCGGAAAATTAGTCCCCGTGCATAGGAGACAAATATTTCCAGTTCAGTCTGATTCTCAAGTAAAAATTGAACTTTCCTGTACTTGAGTAGTTTAGCTAGATTTTTTGAAAATTCTCTTCCTGAGAGTCTTGGTTTCTTTCCAGAATGTTTTTTCTTATTGATGAATCATTCTTGCAAAGGATAGCAAGGGACTCTCCTCATGAAGCTCAAAGTCACTTCAATGTACACACTGGTGAGAAGCAAAACAGCAATGAAGGAAAAACAAAGATCTCTGAGTATAATGGCATATCTACTGCCATGATGAAGTACAGTAAAATAAATGCCTCACTCGGAAAGAAAATTCTAGCTTGACAAATATTATTAGCTTCAACTGCTCCTTATCTGATAATAGATGTTGAATTTGGCCAAGTTCTTATGAACTTTTTTGGCTCATTAATACACCTATTAAACTCACATTTCAGTAGTTGCTAAAAAGAACTATTTTATTTTTCCTTCCATACCACTGAAGATATTAGAAATTTATGAACCAACTGATAACCACTTAAACACTATTATGTTTATATTTCCAACCCTCATCAAATACTTCATTCTACTTAAAAAAAAAGCAGTATTTTGTGCAGAGGTCTATAATGACAGTCATTAATTACAAATCAAGATAATTTTTTTTGACATTTCTTTCTTTGCTTGCTTTTATGGAGACGCATTTGTGTTCTTAGGTTTTATGTAATGCCTCTTCTTTTTCCTTCTGACAAGCTCTCTTGTCTCCTCAAATCTCTACCTTTTTTTCTCATCAGACTTTTCTTTTTTTAGTTTCTCCTCTATGTTTTCACTATACTCTTTTTCCTCCTCTACTCCTCCACCCCATTCTTTTAACCTATTCTCATTTATCTCATCAATTCAAGTACTAAGTTCAGTCACTATTGTCTGTTTACATTCTTTACTCATTCAAAGATTCAAACACTTTTCTCTCATTTTCCATTTAATTTGGGAATTGAAATTCTTCAGTCTTTAGGATGTGAATGAGTGGTACTCTGATAGTAGGAAATTAATGAAAATGACATGCAGGGGACTCTTGGGAGAAAAGGAGCATAGGGTAAAAGAGCTTAAGTAAGGAATGGCAGACAGCTATTGCTTTTTAAGGATTCTCTTGACACGTTTTGTGTCTCTGTTCCAAGTGAGAAGTTTGTCATAAGAAAAGCAGTGGAATAGATGAAAAATAAAAGATTTAGGGACCAGTAGAACTTGGGAAGGGAGATGAGTTGATAAGAGTGTTCCTATTTCTTCCTACTTTACTGTGACCGAAAAGGATTCACAGCTGGGAAATAGTCCCTAAATACTTGGGACAGTGGTCTACAGATGAAGAACCCACTCTGAAATGTTATTATGCCTGTATTTAAAATGTGATGAAAAACATTGAAGAGATTGTAGGAAAATATGTTTTTATTATGAGTTTCTTAATGGCTAGTATTGACTGGCAATTGGAATAATTTTGTTACAAATTAAAAGTTTTGATTTTGAAATAATTTTGGGGGTACTATGGTTTTTTCAAAATATTTTGTGAATTTTTGCCTCTGAGATTGTTCATATAAGAGCCAAAAATAAGTTTTAGTTCTTATTAGATAATAAATATCTTGGGAATGCTTATATGGTATTCTTCTTGAATTCAATATTAGATGATTGTTCTGGGGACATTTAAAGTTAATTTTTAGTAAGCTATGTATCACTTTTATATAAAAGCAATCAATATGCAGTTCACACTTAGAACTTAACAGATGCACTAAATTAATGTTTTGGTGGTGATTCTATGTGGGAAAAATATTCACTATTTAAAAACATTGCCAGAGATTGTCCTTATGCTTACTGACTCAAAGAACTTAAGGGAATTTCTTTTCCTTTTAACTTGGAGCCAACTTTTCAAAGTAATTATCGAGTGCTTACTTGAGTATTTGTGTTGTGATAAGTGGAAACTATGAGTATAACTATAAACTCAAAGATTACCTGCACCATTCTTTACACTGTTGAAATACAAATGTTTTATTAATTATCTGCACTAATAGATTTAAATTCTGAGTGTCCTGAATATCAGATAAGAAGTAAATCAACATAAGATTCTTTCCTTAAAAGGAAATTGAATCTTCTATCTATCAATTTCCAGAACCGAATCTCTGTAGAAGACGTGGGCTAATTCTTTACTATGTTAAATGTCTATATGGTATGCAAATTCTTTTTGGCTGAGATTAGGGAATAACAAGTTAAAAATTGAGTTTAGCAAAATCAATGGAAGACATTTGAGGATCCTGTTTACTGAGTATAACAATACATTAATAATTTATTAACTTGTATTTGAATAGTTCTTTATAGTTAATGGGATCATCTCATCTACTACATTATCTCTGGTCATCTCAGAAAGAGTACATATGGGAAAATAGGCAATTATGCATGTATATGTGGATGAAGGCTCATTTAATTTGATGTTTTTAATAAATGACATTGACATTGTAATCTGACTGTTGGGATTTTAGTCCAAGACTTGATTTGGGATAACAATAATATCAAGAACATATTTGTCAACCTGTGATCTGAAATATGCAGAAATCACCCAAGTTTTTTGGGGTAGAAACTTTATAATGGAAACAAATGATCTTTTTAGGTTCATATTGTAGTGACCTCAAAAAGTGTTAAGATTTACATCGACTGCTATGAAATTATAGAAAAAGACATCAAGGAAGCTGGAAATATCACAACTGATGGTTATGAAATTCTTGGAAAACTTCTTAAAGGGGAGAGGAAATCAGCTACAGTAAGTCACACATTTTTATTTTTCTAGGTACTTTTCATTAAGATTGAAATAACATTTTAAAAATAATCAGTGGGTTGTTTTTGTTTTTGTTTTTGTTTTCTCAGTGGGTTTTAAATTGTCAAATTCCTTGGTCAGATTGAAACATCGAAAAAGTTACATTGAGGAAATATACTGCTGACAGAACATAATAATGTGGTTTACTGCTAGAAACAAAATAAGATGTCAAGACACCAGAGAACATCATGTAGTCATCTTGAAACAGTACCAAATTGGAGAGTAGAACATAAATAGTTGCCAGGATAATCAGTGAAATCTAAAATAACTCATTTTTTGTTCTTCAAAGATAGCAATTGTTAATACAAATTTCTGCAATCAAGACATTAAGCATTTGTAGCTTGATAACACAGACACAAACAGTGACTGTCATAGAGCCTGTGCTCTCTCTGAGAAGAGTCATCATCTGTCTGTCTCAGAAGGAAGATCAGTGTAGGAGGGCGGCCAGCTGACTGCATTACTCACAATTTGCACTGGCTCAAGTTTGAGGCGGGAGCATGCCAACCATATTTATAATGCTGTCTATTAGTAAAAATTTAAATCTAGAGTTTTCACTGTATCAGGCTAATTAAGTTTATATTAAATGTCAATCAATAATAATATTGATCCATAAGCAAGGTTAGGGGCACCTGGGTGGCTCAGTTGGTTAAGTGTCCAACTCTTGATTTTGGCTCGGGTCATGATCTCAGGGTCATGGGATCAAGCCCTGAGTCAGGCTCTGTGCTGAGCGTGGAACCTGCTTAAGATTCTCTCTCCTTCTCTCTGCCCCTCTCTGGTCTAAAAAAATAAATAAAATAAAGGTTAACATTTTTGGCTTTTTAAAAAAATTTACTTATAAATATTAAATTTATTAATTTAGCTTTCTTCCACACACAGGATTTTGTTCTCTTAGATTCACAAGTGAAATTTTTATTCTGAAATGTAGAAACCATTAGTGCAAACTTAATATATTGTGATAAACATCTGGACTTTTAATTTAATTAAATTTAAACATTTTTTAGGATTAATAGAATACTTAATATGCCTAATCTTATAAATCAATAACGATGGTAATAATGATAACTAAGATTTATCAAGCACTTAGCATGTACCTTTTTATTTTTTTTAATTAAAATATAGGCGACACATAATGTTATATTACTTTCAGATGTACAACAGTGATTCAGCAAGTTTATACATAGACTTTTTATTGAATATTGTCTTTTTCTTTAAATAGAACAATTACAACAGGTTTATAAAAGGATGGCTACATCTAAGCAGCCTTTTCCTTTTTATCAAAATAACTTTATTTTTTAAATGTGGAAAGATAGAAAGTATATGCTATGTTGAAATAATTAAACTGAATCATCAAAGTTATTAGTCAGTCCCAGGTAAGAATTTATGAAAAGAAAACATCAATTTTAGAATAAATGAAGAATGTTATTTTTAATGTTATTTTTCTACAAGAGTGGACTTTTAAAAGTTGATTTAAATGGATGTAGTCTTCCAATTCTTAAATACATTCTTAATTCTTAATTAAAGAAATTAATGTTTTCTTAAAAAAAACAAAACTCAATCAAGCATTTTATTTTAGCCGGGGAAGTGAATCAGATGTGGGAATTTCACATATGCATTTTGTTTTAACATCTCCTTCTCTTAGGCATAGGTTTTTATGTTCTTCCTGTATGAAGTAAGGATCACATTGCCCTCAAGGGTTTGCACTCTTGAGAGAGTCTTTGTGAGAAATTGGCAAAGGTTAAAATGTGGAGTTGTTAATATGAAATGTTTTTCACGCATCTTTAGCTGATGTTTCTGTTGGTTGTTTGCAGTTCCAAATCCAGAGTTTTGATATTGTATGCAGTCCGGTGTGGACCAGTAGAGACAGATGCTGTGATATTCCCTCTAGGGTAAGTAAGATGGAATGGAACCGTTGTCGTGGTCTTAAAAGCCCTCCTGGAATAAGGGATGTGGATGCAGATGGTCTGGGAGAGGAAGTAGCACTCAGCAACTGAATCTCCAAGACGGAGCCAAGGGATGTGCACGATGTGCATGCTCATCAGCTACCACAGCTGAGGCCAGTGACCTCCTCCTTTAAAATCCAGGAATACACAAGACCACATCTGAAATTCTCCCTAACAGCCAGGGTGGTTATGCGTAGTTAGAAAAGTCCGCTGGATCAGGGCGTTTGATATATCTATTAATTACAAAGCCCTCCTATTGCTTGTAAAATATTAGCATTTTACAGAATAAAAAACATCACCTTTGTGGACATCTAAGGCTTAGGGTAGACATAACCATATTACTTTATGAGATGATGGTTTTCCCTCATTGTGGCTACAAAGTTGAATGTGATGATGGAGTGGATGCTTTTGGCAAGCAGTGAGCTACATACATCCACAGGATCGACGTGTGTTATTTATTCCACAAATGCTTATTGAGCACCTATTTATTATAAGCCAGGCACAATTTTGTGTGCATGGATTACAGCAGTGAAAGTGAATATTCTAGTGGAAGGAAAGGAGAGAGAAAGAATTAACAAGTAGATACATGCTACATTACAAAGTAGAAAGTCTTATGATGAAAAAACAAATCATGGTGAAGGGATAGAGAGTCAGGCGAGCACTATCAGCCCTCAGTGATGAGGTGAGGTTTAAGCAGAGACCTGGTGAAGTAAGGGAATGTACGATGTGGATGACGGGGACTGCATTCCAATCGGGAGACTGCACATGCAAAGGTCCTAAGACCACAAAGTGCCCTAAATATCTGAGAAATATTAAGTAGACCAGTGGGGCTGGAGTAAAGTGAACGGGAAGGGCAGTGGTAGGCAATGAGATGGGCAAGGTGACGCTGGTTTGCAGAATGTGTAAGGCCTTCTAGGCCATGGAAAGGATTTTAGATCTTACTCTGAACAAAATGGGCATTGATATCTGAGATACTCAGCATTTCTGTAATACTGGATTAGAGAAAACCACATTAAATTACCAGTGGACTATGTGGTGGTTTTATAAGCATTTCTTCGTTATATAAGGTTTCCTAAAGTAAAACGTAAAGACATAAAAGACCAAAGCAAGATTCAACATAAGACTATTTTTACTGATAAATACAAATTATTTCTTCAACTTGAGAACCGAATTTCCTTGTGTATGTAAGACAGATGGGGGTGGAGGATTGGAAGACATTTCACTTTCAATTCATAGGTGAATATTCTTTTTCAAAATTTCAGAGAGATGAAGCAAAATGCCCTGCTCTTCCCAATGCTTGTACATGTACACAGGACAGTGTTGGACCTCCAGGTCCACCAGGCCCTGCGGTAAGGAAACTGCAATAGTCCTTCTAGCCTTCCTCTTAAATCTTTGGAGTGATCATCTTTTTGCCAGTATGTAGTGCATAAAATGCTTCCAGCCATCTGTCTTTTCTGGGACAGGCCATTTTTTTGTGGTATGTTTCGAGATCTGAAATGGAATAAATCAAGAAGAAAGTTTGAACACATTGAACACATTTTGTCTAGTCATGCAGGAATGAATGATTGGCTAGTATTCAAGAGCTATCCCCTTAGAGATGTGAATCTGGGTTTCCATCTGTAATCCCATGATTTTGAAAATTTCTAAACATTTCCCGAAAGCTTCTTGTATGTATGCTATGGAGCATGGATGAGAGGCTGAACACCTTGTTTGGAACCTAGGATATGTATACCTTATGTAGCAGATACATCATGACAATAAGTAGGGAAATTTACATATGTGATGATACCATAAACTCTGGGTGAAAGTATTGGGGTTTGGAATAACTTGGGTAAGAAAGTCTATGACCAGGTCTATTTGTGGGGGAGGGGCACAACACTGAAGATTACAGTGATAGATTTCACTAATCAATGTGGAACCCCTTGATTCAGTTAATCCAGCATGTGATCTGGGCTGGTTTTGTGCAATGGAAGTGATACCTCTAAGTCCTAGTGGTCTCTTTTAAGAAAATGGTTAATTAACGTAGGAATCGCTCAGAGATTCTCAGAACAACAAATTTTATTGTACTTAGGTCAGAGCAAATAGTGTAGATTGATTTTAGGTTAATTACAAACCAGCTTCTCTCATACAGAATAAAATGTCACTGGAATTATTGACCATTTATTAATTTATTTTTTTATTAACAGTGACTTACCTGATTTATATCTGTAATCATAAAACTATATCCTGATGTAACGTAGATGTTTTTGAGAAGTAAGGATTTTTTAATAAGGTAACATTATTGGATGTCATTATCATATTTATTTCCTCTTTATTCAGTGAACTCTGATTTCCAGTTACTAAACTACATGTTCTGAGATTCTGAAAGATTCAAGATATTCTTCTCTTTGCATATTATTTTCACTGAAGAATGTGCACTCATATAACTCCAAACAGAATCTTCTCCTTGCTGTATTTAAGTAATGCTTGTTTTTTCTAGTAAGCTTCAAATTTTCAAATAAATTTCAAAATTTGCTAACGATTAAGAAAAGTTCAGAATGTAAAAGTGAGATACTTAAAATGTACAAAGTTATGAAATTCTCTTTCCCCACGTATTTGTATGATATGTAAAATTCACTTCAATATTTGTAAGTAACCATAGAGGTATCAATTGCCTGGAGAATGCCGCTTCTTGATGTAATTTCTGTATATCGGCTTCTCCCTCCTTTCCTTATATTTACCCTAAAATGTGTTCTTACTATGTATTTTAGGGAGGACCTGGTGCTAAAGGTCCCAGAGGTGAAAGAGGTATCAGTGGGGCAGTTGTAAGTATATTTTATGGTGCATTTAAGTTTTCGTGTATATGTTGAAGTCTGATTGTTAAAATTTCCACTAAGGGGATATGTGACCTTGAGCAAGTTAGTTCAAGTTTAGTGTGCCTTAGGTAATATAATTACCTCAGTCTTGTCTCTGGATGTCAAGATGATGGATTAGACTAGCCAGAGAAAGAAATGTCCAAGGCATCTCACTGCTATAGGAATTACACATAGGAAATCTGCAGAAGAACCTAAGGGTTCTGCTACAACATGGAGAAATAGAGCAGGTAATCCAATCATTGGGAGACCCACAGGGAGCAGAGACCCACCAGAAAGCTGGAGGGAGTTGGGAGCAGTTCTGCGGCTTTTTTCACCCTGTCTCAGAGAAAGAGCTGAGCAGCCATGTATATGTTCAGTGGGGGGTCACCGGCCCTTTTCTACCAGGTCCATACTTGTCTTCCATAAGATAACTCAAGCTTATTAGGGCAATATATTATGAAGATGATGTGTGCTTTTAGTCATGATATTACTAATGATAAGCTAACCCAGTTAGGAAAGGGTGAGGCTGGGATGATAACCCAGTTCCCTGACTCCGAGTTTGTACCTTTTCTACCTGGGCATTTTGCAAAGAAGCTCCAGCATAGAGCATCTTCTTAGTGGATATCTGTTCTTTCCTTGCTTGTTTTATATACACATTAGTTCCAGAAATAAGGCCAAGTCTAAGAGAAAGCAGGACCAGCCTAAACTAAGAAAATCCACTGAAATTCAAGGTTTGATCTCATATGAATTCTTGAGTATAAATTTATGAATATATCATATCCAGTGTGTTTTACCTCTTTTAAAAATCTGCTTCTAATGGGACTTTTGGAAATATAAGTGCTCTTATGGATTTATTGCACTTGAATTGTTCTTTAATGAATAGTAAAGGGAAGAAAGGAATGGCATTAATAAATGCTTTTATAGGTGTGTAGATTTCGAAAATGTTTGCAAACATTATATGACTGATGTCTTAAGACACACCGACAGACTTCTGATTGGATGTTAGCACTGGAAGGTCATTATGTGACTTTGTGGTTGTTTCTCTCTTGTATGCTTTAGGGGCCCCCTGGCCCTCGTGGAGATACAGGTCCTCCAGGCCCCCAGGGTCCCCCAGGCCCCCAGGGACCCAACGGACTCTCCATTCCGGGAGAACAAGTAAGCACAAAGGCTTTCTGTATTTCAGTGAGGATGGTAGATTAACATTAAGTTGACCTAGAATATTTTTTACTGTATTTTGCCAAACTCAAATGTTTCCTGAGAACTCAACAAGGTCGGCCATTGAGACAACTTCCTATGATTATGATTTCAGATATGCAAATAGTGCATGTAATAATATTTAAATGTGTAGATAAAATTATTGCTACTAATTTGACCTTTAAAAATGAATAAGTAATGCATATATACTTCAACATCCTGAAGGCTTTGAAATTACTTTCAGTGTGTGGCAACCCTTTGCTAATATTTATGACCTCAAGGCAAGCTTGCATTCTCTATCTAGGTCACTACTTCTTTAAAAAACTTTTTAATGAAATGTTTACCTTTTGTTCCAAAAGCTCATCTGAAGTTATAAAAGGTGTTTTTACCTTTTAAGACTCATATTTTATTTAGCTACTAACATTTTTTTCTATACCTTAAAAAAACAAAAGAATACAGTATATGAATAAGAATATGATAACTGCATAGTTTTAAATTCAAGTCTAAACTTCCTTTTAAGATGCCTTAATATAGGACAGATACATTTTCTTGGCACTTAGAGGAAAAATAATTGATACCAGATAAAGCTGGAAATGAGACATGTGGAGGGATAGGGCTTTCTCACTCAAAAGGGTTGCCTGAATCTACTTTTAGCTTCTTGTGTCCAAAAGGGACTTTTGGGGCTTTTACCTTTCTTACTACTATTAAATTAAATTTATCAGTTTTAATTAATTCTACTTTTTTAATTAATTCTACTTTTTTATGACAAGTGTTTTCTAGCATGTAGTTATAAAGACCAAAATTATCACACTTCATTGAATATCTATTAAAATTAGCAACTAATTAAATATATTAAATAAAAAATAGTTTTTCTCCCTTCAAATTTTCTTCCTATGAAAATACCTTATGTTAAACTATGTTCTTTTAAAGTGGTATATCGTCCCATAATTATATAAAATTATCCTTTAATATTACAAATGGAAATCAGAACACAGCATTTATAGCTTCAAAAGTGAGCATCAATCCGAAAAATGATTTGTCTACCTTCCAAATGTGTTTACATTGTATTTATGAAGTGATGGAGATTTCAGAAGTGACTTATGTCTCCCCTTTTCACTTCATCTCTGTAAAATGCCTGAGGACTGTTTTCCCATTGCTGCTGTAGGGTCGCCAAGGGATGAAAGGTGATGCTGGAGAGCCAGGACTTCCCGGCCGGACCGTGAGTTGTTCTTGAAGCTACCTCTTTTTTTACTTGTCAGGTGCTGTTTGAAAAGTTGCCCTTGTAGTGCCTCAAAAGGTGAACCCAGAGGAGGCAGCAAAGCAGAAGCCAGGCTATGTGCATCGCATTATTTCCATTTCATACCCTGGTCTTAGTTGTCAAATTTGTGCTGTTCAATTCAAGTGTGGGCATCCTGATGATCATCCACTATATGGCTGGCACTGGGCTTGGTTCTGGTTTTCTGCTTCTTTTCAGAGCCCCCTGAATTTTTTTTCAAGCATTTTGAAGAACAAAAAGTATGTTTTCCCATATAGGAAGTATATTATAGCATGTCACTTGTTTGCTTTCTTTTGTGTAGGGAACCCCAGGATTACCTGGCCCACCAGGACCAATGGGACCTCCAGGAGATAGAGTAAGTTTTCTCAGGCAGGCTATGATGATGTTGGCAATGATATCACATTGTTGCCTATTAATGAAGAATTATTTTACAATAAAGGACAATAGTGAGATTGCAGAGGTGACAAGTCAGTCTATTCAATTAGAAAGCAAAACCAAAGACACTGCAATCAAGAAGTGATGATGGACTGACTCACTTGGTGCTGTTGTTACGAAAGCCTTGTTGGGCCCATCATGGCCACCCAGTGTGGGCTTCGTGCAGACATGGTGGGTTGCCAGGGATGTCCCATCAAAAGGCTCTTCCTGAACTGGGGACAGGTAGCCATTGACACCATCACTGTTTCAAGAAAAATGAGGGAGTGGGAAGATTCTATGCTTTTTTGCTTTTTCACTTTCAAACTCTAATCTGTGACTCCAACTTTATGGTGAGGCCACCCAGATCTCCCAGCTTGAGAGTGAGGAAGCTTCTCAGGAAATCATTCCCCTCTTTACGCTCAGCCTTGTTCACCTACCTACTCCCTAGTTCCCTACCACTAACGCTGAAAACAGGGTGCACAGCTGATAGAACATAAACTTTGGAAAGTTAGATAGACTTTGATATAGGCATCTGGGCTGGAAAGAAAGAGAAGGAAGGAAGGAAGGAAGGAAGGAAGGAAGGAAGGAAGGAAAGGAAGGAAGGAAGGAAGGGAAAGAAACCTGAATTCTGTGTTGGAAGAGAAGAGAAGAAAGGTCAGAAGAGCAAGCCCAAGGACCACAGTGAGAAAGGAAGACTTGTTACCAAGATGGAGTTGGTAGGAATTGGATACATGGGTTGTCTTCTGCATAGATGATTTTCAAAATGAGGCACAGCTTTGGGGACCACTAGAGAGAAACAAAAGAACCACATGAATAGGTATCTAATACATGTGCACCTATGAAAACAACCATAGGTCTTCTCATCCAACCTCACCTAGAGGGAAGCAGCTTTGAAAGTCACTGCTGCTTTGAGAATGGAGAAAAAAATAAAATTTATCACAAAGTTATGCAGATGGCTCAGTTAGACCTGAGAACATTAGGATAAGCTCTTCTTCACCCCAACTTAGATATATGTCTCTTCTAAAAGAAAATGGTTGATCAGATCTAAGTGTTCATGGATGGACGCTTTATATGTATAAAATGCTCAGCCTTAAGAAAGAAGGAAATCCTGTCATTTGCAACAACATGGATGAAACTTGAACCTGGGGGACCTTAGTGTAAGTGAAATAAGCCAAACACAGAAAGGTAAATACTGCATGATCTCACTTATGTATGGGATCTAAAAAAAGTTGAACTCATGGAGGCAACTAGTAGAATGGTGGTTGCCAAGGGTAAGGGCGAGGGGGATATGGAGAGATGTTGGAAAAAGGGTACAAAAAGGCTATGTTGGAAAAAGTCTACAAAAAGGCTACAAAAAGGCTCTGTTGGAGTTGTTATGCAGGATGAATGATCTTTGGAGATCTAATGTACAGCAGGGTGACTATAGTTAATAATACTATATAGTGTACCTGAAATTTGCAAATAGAGTAGATCTTTAAATGTTCTCACCACACTCAAAAAATGAGAACTATGTGAGGTGATGTGTATGTCAATTATCTTGGTTGCAGTAATCATTTCACCATGTATACGCATATCAAAACAGGTACATCGTAAATATGTACAACTTTTATTTGTCAATTATACTTCAGTAAAGCTGGGGGAAAAAAGAGAAAATGGTTGATCAGGAAGTTCTTAGGAAGGAGAATTATTCAGAAATATAATACTCACCTAAACAAATAAACAAAAGAGTGTCTTAGACGCTGGAGAAATTTAGATGGAAGACGTGCAATTCAAACTGTCTAAGCAATACCACCAGAGCATTTTTGTTTCTTAAGTGGCTCTCAGAAGCAATGTTGATGTTACATCAGGTGAACTTGGAGTCTGTTTTTTGTGAAGCAGACCTGGGGCTCCCAGAAAACATTCTGAAATCTTTATCTGTATAAGTTTCTGGAGAAAAAAATCGGAGAGTAGTGGTGGTGGAATATTTCTAACACAATTTTAAGGAAATAATTTAAACTTCCTCTGTTATAAAACCAATGGAAGCATGGATACTTAGACCAGGCAGTTATCCAAAGGCTCTTGATTTTTGTTAGAATCCAAGAATATGGATGAAATTATCACTCTTACTCCCTGCAGAAAATGAGACAAAAATCTCCTTTGACAGAGGAATGCAAGAGCTATAAAAAAGACCTGACTCAGAAATCCTCTGCTGAATTTCAGGGATCTCTCTGTTGGGATGAATGCTAACTGGGTAGCAGAGTGACTCATGCGAGGCAGAGGTCATTTGGCACCGCATGGAGGCAGGTCCTGAGAGCCAACGAGCAAGCCTGCGCAGCAACGCGCGGTGCTCCTGGGGCACATCTCTCTTCCCAGTCAACCTGACACTTGTGCGGATCTGGTCTTTCATGCAAGATGAGGAGCAGCAAACCACTAAAAAATTAGCTGAAGACTGAGGATTTCCTTTCTTTCACGTGGAAGGCAGTCAAGACAACTTCACTCTTTTCTGGGGTGAGGGAGAGAAGTTCACCAGCCGTGGGGACATGGGAAGTCCTTCCCTGGCTGGCTGGCCATTGCTTAGGAAACGGGACAGTTTTGAATCAGGTGGTTGGCCTCTCCTTCAGCTTTTATGTTGCTCTTCTCAGCAACATTTCTTTTCATCCCATTTTGATTCTTTCTGGACCAGTTTGTGGACACTGACTTTTTCAGTAGAGAGGTTAGTCTTCCTTTAGGCTTCCTTACAGTCTCACAAAAGCAAAAGTTAGCATCTTTATGAAAGGAGTCTCCTTCTTTGGAGAAAACTAGTTTGACTCTTAAAATGATCTGGGGCGCCTGGGTGGCGCAGTCGGTTGAGCGTCCGACTTCAGCCAGGTCACGATCTCGCGGTCCGGGAGTTCGAGCCCCGCGTCGGGCTCTGGGCTGATGGCTCAGAGCCTGGAGCCTGTTTCCGATTCTGTGTCTCCCTCTCTCTCTGCCCCTCCCCCGTTCATGCTCTGTCTCTCTCTGTCCCAAAAATAAATAAACGTTGAAAAAAAATTAAAAAAAAAAAATGATCAGCAAAGGCATAGCTTAAATTGGGAAGCATTTTGGGGGTATATTTGTTTTTGTACTGAAAGATTACTTGCAGCTGGGTTAAATACTTCACCCTTCACTCTTACCAGTCTCTTTAGCATCTTTCCTTTTCACTTGGTCATTATGTCACTAATTCATAATTAATTTTATGTTTACAATAGGGCTTTACTGGAAAAGATGGTGCAATGGGACCCAGGGGACCCCCTGGGCCACCGGTAAGAACTGAATGGGTTACATTGTTGTCTCCCCACCCCAAAATCCCTACCCCCATTTGCTAGGGAAAAGCCCAGTAACCTGGCTTTTGAGGCACATTCTATCTGTACTATGGGGTGCACTGTCAAGGGAGCTGTTTGTTTTATTTTCCTAAATCAAAATGGGCTGGAGAAAACAGATGTGTTAAAATACAGAGTCTGTTTAATCAAGTTACATTTGAAAAATAGAAAAATACTCCTAAGTGACTTGACCACTAGTTGGCTGGTGCCCCAGTTCCTTCCAGCCCCACATCGAGTGGTGGGGTTTTAAGACCTTACTGGTTACTTCCTATTCTAAAACTTTGATAAGCTGTGGTGTGTGGCATTTCAGTTTTAAGGGAATTTATTATTGAACACTATCAGTCATTCTGAGGAAGTAAATTTACCCTAGATCTTCTAATTAAGATCTTTTGGGGAAAACACCAAAGCCAGTGATTTTGAGAGTGGCATCTAGATGCCTGCATCCAGGTGACATCATAATTAACTTGTCTGAAGTGATGGATGATCTTCATGTCTTATGGCAGGATATGAAGACATGAGGGCATATATTAAACAATGTTAATTATTGATGTCTAATGAACATTCAACATTATATATGTTCTCAGGTAAAGGAGAGTTTAAATGTATAGTAAACTTGCATTTTAAATATTTACTACAGAGCTTAATATTTGCATAATTGATGAAGTAAAGGATTATTTGTTTTACAGAATTTGATGATCAATTTTAAGGAAATTTTAGGCTTTAGAACATAAAGTATTGGTTAGTAGATATTATATATATTCTACTAAAATATGGCTAAGATTTTTGAAACTGTGTTAAAAGCTATGGTTTGGAGGAGGTGAAGGGTGCTGAGATGATAGAAAAAAGTGGAAGTTTAGAGAAGGCACCAACGAAATAGTGAATTTCTAGGCTGAGACCAAGACTCCCAGCAACAAGGGAAGACTGTGCCACGGTGGTACCTGATTTAGCATAGAAACAGCTACTTTCTTAATTTCTTTCCCAACCAAAGTTTTCACTACTGTCTTTTGAGGAGTTTTCCGGTTTTGTAATAGAAATGAACTAAAAAATAGGGATTGCTTTCTGCAAATTCATTTTGTAACCAATTTATGAGAATCACAGTCTATGAATTGTGAAACTGATTATATGTATCTATATATTTTTCAAGTGGTCTTAAAATATATTTTAGAACTATACACACCATAAATATTGAGAATTTTCAAAATTTTTTCTTTCATGCTATCTTAAAATTTGGTTTTACTCTCTCTATTGTATGCTGTTTCTGTGACAGGCTTTTAGAGCTGGCCACATTTGTTAGTTTACTCTAGGTGGGCTTTTTCTTTCATCGCATCATTCCCTTTCTCGGCCTGTGTATTTCAGGGAAGCCCAGGCTCTCCAGGAGTCACAGGACCTAGTGGGAAACCAGGAAAACCTGGAGACCATGGCAGACCAGTAAGTGGACAGATTGCGTGTCTGGAGTCATTTCTCTGCGGCCATAAATAATGAGGATGTTGCCAAGGCTTTGGCGTATTTATGTTATCTCTGCTGTAATGTGTTTGAAGCATTTGTTGAAACTATGCGAAACCCATGGATTTAACTTGGTACCAGTTCTAAAGTTTTTCTCTCTGAGTTATAATATTCTGGGATGAAAATTGTGGTCATAGGGTTTCTTTAAAAGGAGAATGGGATTTTGAGCCAAGACACATATTTCTGCACTGTGTAAACACTCAAAGCTGGGTCAGCAGAACGATTCTTTTATTTAGGAGCGGTATGCTGCTTAAGATAGAAAAATACATGATGGTGCGTGGTGCCTTCATTTGTAGTTTATGGATGTTAACCCTTCATGAGTGTCAGCCAGCCATGCATTTAGTCATTTCTCTTTCCTCAAGGCTGCTAGACGGTAGTCCTAGGATTAAAAGGATTTCTCTGATCCGCTATTTTACTTTTTTATACTGTCCTGTTGCAATTCACATACAGTTTAACTTCTTTTGGTCAGATGGCCTGGTTAAAATAATGGCATTATGCATATCTGGCATTTCCACGTTGGTACCTCCAAAACTGAATTTGAAGTTCTAAAATTGCCAATCCAGAAGTATTTTTAATGACCATTGAGCATCATATTCTTCTTTACAACCTTTTTCTTATTTGTATGTGTGAAGTGTGAATTTATTTTAAGCAGTTTATTTGTCTGAAATGAATTTTAAAACATAAAAATTTATCTCCAAGATAAGTAAGTCCAACTGTTAGCAATGACACTAATCTATCAGGGCTGTTCTCGGGACGGAACTCTTTTTTTAAATCTTGTCCAAATTATATAAACCCAAGTTTAAAAACTGTCTAATGTCAAAGAAACTTAGGGTAGAATCTTTATGTGACACGGCCTGCCTTCTATGTTTACATAAAATTAAGCAAGCAGTATTAAGATGAAAGGACCCCTGATATATTTTACAATCTGTGTATACCCTAGCACATGAATTTATTACTCTCTTTTCCTCAGTGAATCATAGCAGGAACTTCACAAGAGCAGTTAAAAGCACATGGAACTTTTCTACCCATTCACAATTCTATTTCATTTGAGTATTACTGAAATGGAGTCTTACATAAGAATATACCAGATGTAATTGATGGCTGGAACTAGAAACTTAAAAAAAATTTCTGCTTCCTTTACTTGAAATGTGATCTCTAGATACTGGCAATAAAGATGATTTCTACAAATCATATATACTAGAACAATCTCACAGTGGCAGTAAATTAAAAAAAAAACACACACAAACCAGGAACAATCTCAAAGTAGCAGTAAATATAAAACAAACAAAACAGAAATTCCTTGCAATTTACAGAAGGCTCCAAACTAAGTAACAGTAGCGTTTCTGTAAGAGTCTAGAATTTTGGCAAAGGGAGAACCAAACTCCGGTTTCTTCTTATCATTTGGTAACATTTTTTGGACCTTCCCTACCTTCTTTTTCCCCTGTATTTTCCTCATCCTTCTAAAGTAGAAAATTGTTCTTCCTTTTCTTCTCTTTTCTAACTTACCTTTAATTTCTAAAACTAAAACTAGCAGATGGGTATAGAAAGGTCTTAGCAGAGAGCTTGGCTGTTGGCTTATGTCATTAGCTCTTGTAAGCAGTTGGTATCTTCTCGCTAACTTGTAACACATGATGTTGTAGAGCGGATGTTTCAAGGAACTTCTTGTGGAATATTTTTTATCATTGACTCAAAACCTTTTTGTTTAGTGACTAAATGTGCTAGTACATGTTCTTGTGTTCTGGGGTCTGGGGATACAACAGTAAACAAGACAAAGTCCTGGCCCTCATGGGGATTCTAGTGGGGGATATAGACCAAAACGTGTACATAAACAATATAGTTTCTAGCAGTTTTGAGTGATGTGAAGAAAAAGAAGCAGAGTGAGGGCCAAGGGAGTAATTGTGATAGTGAGAAGGTGGCTATTTTAGATACAGTCGTCAGGGAGCCTGTCGTAGGAGGTGACACTGGAGTGGATGGAGGGAGAGCTGTTTGAAAATCTGTGGGAAGAAGATCCAGGTATGAACAAAAGCCTCAAGTGAAGAATGATTGAAGAATGAGTCTGGCATATGAAAGGAACCACAGAGAGGCCTGTGTACCTGAACTGAAGGGAGTTGAGGAGAAGAAGAGTAGCAGGCAAGACCAGAGAGCTGGACAAGGTGATTGTGTGGACCATCTAGCCCAAGATATGTAATTCTTATTTCATGCTAAGTATGATGGGCACTTAGAGCTAAAAGAGTGACCTAATCTTATTTTCCTTTTAAAGATATCACTCTGGCTTCTGTGTGGAAAATAGACTCTAGAGAGGAAGAATGGGAAAACAGGAAGAGCAGTGAGGAAGATATTGGAGTTCTTTAGGCAAAATTCTTAGGGACTGTAAGAGGTGGTTCGGTTTGGGACATTACGTGAGCAGTGGGTTTGTCAATGGTTTAGAAGTTCCTTCCATGATAGCAATTGGCAGCCTAGAAACACATTATGGGAAAATAAAACCTCTGGCACTATAGAAAACTTTTTTCAAGATCCTCTCATGGCCAGTGAGAGGCTTGACAGAGTAGGGACAAATATTCTGTGGCTGCGTTTAGATGTGGGACCACTTTAGTAAGAGAGACACATGGTTCCTTTTATACTCAGTGCACACACACACACACACACACACACACACAAAATAACTGCAAGAAGTTACAGATATATATTTAGTTAGGAAATTGACTCATTTCCCACTGGTTCTTACTAGAACTGAACCAAGATTAACCTCATGGACAATCTACAGAAACAATCTGAGCTACCCAGCCATGGTGATGTAAAGGAAAGAATAATGGTACCAAGGGCAATTTCTCATCTGTATTTTAGTTCCAGGCTTATATTGCGAATTGCATCATAAATGCATGCAGATTACATAATTTCTAAATGTGTAGTCATAAAATTCACATCTCAGCACTAATTTGGAGGATACGTGCTTCTATGAGAGACAAGTACAGAAAGATTCCTTTTTACAGACAAGCAAAATGCAAGTAAGATGGATATAAATATGAAGTGTCATTTTGCTAATCTGTTAGAAAGCAGACCTTGCTCTCTTTCATCATCAAGTCTGTTCGTGAATCATTTTAGATCATGTTTGTCAGTTTCTAATCTACGAAATTCCTGTATTTCAGGGTCCATCTGGATTGAAAGGAGAGAAGGGCGATAGAGTATGTATTTCTTAAAATCTGATTTACTTTTTTATTTTGTGTGTTAAACATTGAAGTCTGAAACTATAGAAATAATATGCTAATGATTCTCATTGATTTGATCAACAAGGGAGACATTGCTTCCCAGAACATGATGCGAGCAGTTGCAAGACAAGTCTGTGAACAATTGATAAGTGGTAAAATTTCTTTTATTTTTAATGTATGAATGCTTTTTAAATTTGTTGCAGGAAAATGCAGAGTTTGAGTCACAAAGTTTCTAAGATATATGTTCCTATTTCATTGTGATGATCTCTTATTTTTATACATTCTTGGTTTTGTATCTGGTCGGTTAAAACTAGTCATATGTTAATGACTGTCATTAAGATAAAACGAGAACCCAAAGTAAAATAATAGCCTGTTATCCTATACTTAATCTGATACAGAATCATATTTTGAAAGGGCTTTTCAATTTCCTTGTTAGGATTTTTACTGATCTTCATCAGGATACATGTAGAAGCAGCAAACACTGGATTTTTAAAGTTATAAACTTTAAATTATTCTATGACTTTAAGGAAGGGGGCCCATCAAGATTAATTTGATCATTGAAAGTACATATTGGTGGTGACCTTTTTATTGCCTCCTTATTTTTCACAGACTCTTTCTTCTTATTTTATGAAGCCTATTAACTAATAAGGCTCAGTGCCTACAAACAGCATGGTTTTAAACTCAGGGTTTGCTACTTCAGAAGTCTTAACAGTGTTTCTTGAAGTGTGATCCTGAGGGAAACCTGCATAAATCACCTATATTGCTCGTTAACAATGAGTGTTCCTGGGCCACACCCTAAACATAGTGACTTATTGTCTTTGGAGATGAGGCCCAGAGATCTGTATTTTTCAATGTATCCTATACGCGATTCAATTTACACTAAAGCCTGATTATCATTCTAGGTACATGCACACAAAAAATTGCTTAATTCAAGAAAGGTTCTCTTTTGAATGACATCATCTGGCAAACCACAGGGCTTTATATCAGAGCCCTATCAAACTTTTACAGTTCTTTTATGTTTATAGTAATGCTGTGGCTTACTGGTCAGTATTTTTGTGGAGACACATGTTTATCAGGAATTATTTTGTCCTAGATGACTGGAGTGTTTTATTTTATTTTTAGGCTTCTAATTAGAATGTGTCCTGGAGGGGGAGGAATAGAGAACTAAGAGAAGAGTTTCACCATCTCATCCCTTCCCTACTGGGTTTTTTACTAACAAGTCTTATTTCTGTTTGTAGGTCAGATGAGCAGATTCAATCAGATGCTGAATCAGATTCCAAATGATTATCACTCCAATCGCAACCAACCAGGCCCACCGGGTCCCCCAGGCCCTCCTGGCAGTGCAGGAGCCAGAGGAGAACCGGGACCTGGGGGGCGACCAGGCTTCCCTGGCACACCAGGGATGCAGGGGCCCCCGGGTGAACGAGGTGGGCATCTCTGGCCGCTGTGCAGGGCTAAAGAAAGGAATTTGCAAGTGGGGGATCTGGGTCAGGTTGAAAAGCACGTGGAAGGCTGAACCTGGCAAACTGCTTTAATTATTCTTGTTTGGACAGCCCCAGAAAAACTGTGTGTCCACGAACCCATTATTTTCTTTAGGCAGCCGCAGGCCATAGAGATCCGTATCTTAGAACATGGGAAGATTTTGTCAGGAGATCTCAGTAAAGATAATGCCATGTTCTGATTGTTTGTTGTTATTGTTGATGGCAAAAACTGTATTTTGGCAAACTCACTCAGACGCTAAAATATTATTAATTATTGTGACTAGCAATGTGCTTAATGTACATTGAATGTACTTAGAATGTACTTAAGCAGCCTTACAGTTTTAGATCCAAATTCTTTTAGTTCCTTTGTTCAGGGCTTGGCACTGGTCTTACGTGTTTGTTTGGCTTTAATTTCATGGTAGATAAGTGTCATTGAAGGAAAAGAAGAAAAATAGAATTATTTAATTCCAGATGTTTCGGGATGCTGGGTGTTCCCTTTTGTCAAAGCAGCAGTTAATATTCTGGGGAAAATTTAGATACCTCTATAATTCTAACGGTTTGGATGCTATGCAATAGAGCTATTAAAGAGCTACCTTTAAGATGTGTCTGAATGAGTTGTAACTATGTAGTCAAGATTCCTGTTCTTAATTACTATTTCTAAAAAAAATATAATAGACATGTTTGTTTTCTTCAAATAATTTCCCCCCTGACTTGTAGCCAGATTTGTTTCTTGGCCATGAATCTGGAATTACCCAAATGTCTAGAAAGAATTTGGCTTAAAGAGTGAACTTCTGTGAAAAATTAGTTTCTGCTTTCACTAAAAGAAGTGAATTTCTTGAATTAAGTATTATCAGTTAAGATGAAAACTACATGTTTCCAGATAATTTTCTCCCTGTTCTCTTTCTGTCCTCCCTTAGGTTTGCCGGGAGAGAAGGGTGAAAGGGGTATTGGATCTCTGGGACCTCGAGGGCCGCCTGGCCCCCCAGGTACGTTTGGTAGTAAATCAAATAAGTAAACAGCATAAATACTGAGAGTATACAACCCTAAGAGATTCACAATCTCATCCTGTTAGCTTCAGGCAGGCCTGTCATTGTGAATATATTTTAGCAAGAAGTTCAACCTGTATAAACCTGCTCATTTTTATGTTCTCTTTGTTCAAAAAAAAATGTTTGAATGTGTTCTATTAAGCACTCACTGTAACTTTAATATATGAGGGTATGGGTTTTAATGACACAGAGGGTTACTGTTTTCTTTTTTATGGAATTCCCATTTGTTTTGTTTGGCCACATAGCCTTTAAGGATGGTGTTATTTCCTGTTTCTTCTAGTATTCTTCAAGATGTTGCTAGCGGCTGAGAAAATATATTCTCACTAAAATTCCTGACACATTGCAAGATTTCATTCACAGTTTCTTTATTGATGTTTTAGAAAGAAAGAATAGTTGTCCAGTTGTTTTATGCATTTCATTTACTAGATTGAAAATGACTTCTTGTTTTTCTTCATTATAAGGTCCATGAGACCCTGTAACCAAGGTCAGCCCTAGTGGTTAAATCTTTACATTTGTGTTAACCATAAATACGTATAACTTGATCCAGAAATAACATTACTTTACATAGTCTGGAGGTGTGGGCAGGCACTCCCATGTTCTCCTGGCAGTCTAACACAGCTAATATAACCATTTCCTTCAGATAGTTTTATCTCTGTAAGAGTGGGAACCATCCAGGGAACTCACTGGGATCTTTAGTTTGGCTTAATTCTTGGTGAGTCGGTTTTCTTTGGATACAATCGTTAAAGTAGTTGTATTTCTGTCATTAATTCTTGATGGATCACTGGTAAGAAAGTTTCACACTTTGGTTCATACTGGTGATTTCTTAAGGAAATATTTTCTTACCATATACTAGTGCATCATGTCGTCTTGAGGCAGTGGTGGTGTGGAAGAATTGTGGACTGCCTCAGGAGATGTATTTGACAAGAGGGGAAATCTCTGTTTTAACCCCATACTAGGTCCACAAGGAGAATCCAGAACGGGTCCACCAGGGTCCACAGGTTCAAGAGGTCCTCCTGGCCCCCCAGGTCGTCCTGGAAACTCAGGTATCCGAGGCCCCCCAGGTCCTCCTGGATACTGTGATTCATCCCAGTGTGCCAGCATCCCATACAATGGGCAAGGCTATCCAGGTATGTTGTTGCCATTGTAGGAACCCAAATTCACCTGAATTTAGAACCTTTATGGAAATGAAGTTCCCTAGGATTGAAGGAAGGTTGATTTGAGGATTTTTTGAAGATATAAACTCTTTCAGTTGTGTGTTTTGATTATGCAGTAATGTTCTCTCTCAAAGCATAAAACATGACTTCACTGTTAGGGGTCAAATGGTTATTTGCTCTTCCTTCCTATATTTCTACATTTGCCCAATCACATCATAAATCTCTCCTTATTTCTTCTGGGAGTTCAAAGAATGCTATAACATGACTTTTTTTTTTAAACCTAAAGATTGGGAAGAGAGATTTGTGAATATAATTATAGAATATCAAGAATACATACTAAAAAATTGTTTTTGGGAATCTGATGTTGAGGCAAACTTTTTGCTGACATGGTGCAGACAACTGAAAATAATACACCGTCTCATCCTGTCCATAGAATTAATGTTCCTAAAATCTGGGACTTAATTTTTTTCTTTTAAAGAGTTGGTAGTGCATATCTAGTGTCTGACAATTACAGAGGCCAGGTGTCTTACGCCTGATTTTGGGGAGTGTGGAGACAAGGGAGATATGCTGATCTGGGAATGAGAAACTCATGCTGTGGTCAGAGGTGACCTTTTCATCAGCGCACCCTCAAGCATCTTGCAAGTTTTAAAAATGATACTGCTGTTTGATATGGTTGGCTACTAGCAAATAGTGCATGAGTAGTTGATATCTAAATATCTATATATCTATATATTTATGTGCATACTTATATATGACCAAAAGTAGTAATTTTAATATAAATTTCTCATGCAGCTCATTCACAAAATTATAATTTAATTCTTTATAAAATAAATTTTAATTACCTCTGCCTTATGGTATGTGTGAATAACTGGAAATATATGGATATATATATATATATATATTTTTTAACCATTACATACTTAGATGGATGTGTATATATATTTTTTGCATAGTAATTCAACTTTTAAAAACTATCATCTTTGACCTGTTTCAGGTTCCGGCTAACAAATTTTCTAAGTCGCCAGTGCTGCTTACAGTTTGAATACATGAAAATCCTGTTTCTGAGATGTTTGCGCACGTGCTTATTAGGAAATGAGTCTGTATGGAAATTTCACCACAGATATATGGTTAAAGAACCGGGTGGACATCATAAAGGAGGGTGGAGACTCTTTATACTAACTTGAATGAGACAAAAGCAGTGGTGTTAGTTTATAAGCCTGATGCATTTCAGTAATAACATAGAAAAGTATTATTAAAAAAAAAAGTTCAAACACACAACCATGAGGAGCCTCAGTTGTGAAAGAGGCGCATAATAAAACTACTAACCAGCGGAGATTATGCCATTTGGAGAAAAATGATTAACCTGGTTAAAGGGAAATGTCTTATGTAAATAATAAACTAATTGTGGCTTGTAAATGATTTGTATGTGATCCTGTCCACTAAAATCACTTAACAATTCTACAATAAGCTTCTGCATCCAAGCCTGCTGCTTGCTCTATGCCGGAATAACACCGAATGGAATCTCCTCATCTCTTGCTTGTTAGCGATGTGTCTGATTCAGGGCATGTGTCTTACTATTATTATTTTTTGTACATGTACTCTCATTTGGGTCTTGTAATTGCAATTTTCAAACCAAAGTTTTATAGCCACTTTTTCTTCTTCCTGTTTAACTGTCGTCACTGGTGTTCCTCACCCACCGACTGTAACTCAGTCTGTGGGAGAGACAGCCACAGAAAATGTCATGTACTGTATATTACCTGGTGATAGTTGATTCTCACCTCCAGCGTTCAGTTTCTAGGAGCCAATAAAACCTTCCCTTATCTCCTCATCTTTCCAAATTGTTCTTTGAATTGAGGAGTTTGAACTCCTGCACAGTTGCGAAAATCCTACCTAGGTTTCTGCGTTTACAGTTATTTGGCCCAGCCTCTGACCCTTCCCAGGTATTTGTGCAATGATTGTATTTACCGCTGGATCCTTGAAGGTTAAAAAAAAAAGTGCCATTTCATTATTTGATCATCAGCAAATTCTCTCAGCAAATGGACGTAATCAGGACATTGTAACTTCTCTATTTATAGCTATGAGATAAGACTGGATTGCCATCACCTCGGGTGATGATTTAGCTTTTGCTGTGTGTGTGCCTTCCAAATCATGCCATAACTGTAATGTTGAATCGGACAGAGCCGTACGTGCCCGAGGGCGGGGCCTACCTGCCCGAGCGGGAGCCCTTCATCGTGCCGGTGGAGCCCGAGCGGACGGCGGACGAGTACGAGGACTACGGCGCCGACGAGCCTGGCGACGAGGATCCTCCCCACGCGCGCTGGCGGCGCGCCCTGCCCCGCGGCCCTGGGCAGTGAACCTGAAACCGCGCGCAGCGCAGCCACGCTGGGGGGAGGTGTTGGGATTTTCATTTACAGGTCAGACAGAGAGGTGTTACGTCTTATCTGCGATGTGTCTTCCGGCGTTGCTTCATCCAAGAGTACGCTTTCTGATTGTAGAGAACCTTGTTTCTGCAGGAAACCTAGCTCGCTGCACGCAGTCTTGTAGACATTTTTGCCTTTGCCCTTGAAATGCTTGCAAAATACTTTGCCCCAAAGGTGCAAGGAGAGAACGTGCCTTGTGCCTTTAGTTAGCACAAAGGGCAGCCTCAGTGAAACTCTTAGGTTAAGCAGTAAGTCCTGGAACCCCAGGACTACTGTATATTTCGAGAAGGCAGTTCATCTTTTACAAAACTTTTTTTGCAATTCAATTACACCACGATTCAAGTAATTCCCCTCCTCAAACCAAAACGGAGGGAAAAAACAACTCCACTGCAATTATTTATCTTCCTCTTCTCTCTTCTGTTCTACATTAGGGCATAGGATGCTCTTATACATCTCCTTTAACAACCACAAACCTTAAGCCATGTAGCTGAAATTATTGTATCAACTGGATACAGTTCCATATTGCCTTAAACCTCCTTGTTTTAGACACACTAACATTTATGCCAAATTGCAGATTATTCTGCCGAGACGGAATTGCATGTTTGTGTTGTATATTTAGTATGAACTTTTTTTTCAGAACATAATGTTTCTTAGTTATCAAAAGCAGTTGGAAAATGTTTGCAAGACTATGAACATAGAATTGCTGCTTTTATATTTTAACTGCAGATTGTGAATTTCACTGCCTTATATTATTTATTTCTGAAACAAAAGAGGCATTTTTCAATAAAACTACTGAAAATTTGACCTGGTATGTTTTTTTCTTTGAGTGGCCTTTTGGAGTGTTTAGGCGGTTGTCACAACAAACAAGTTTATATCCTTGGATACGGACACACATCTTGCTAATACTATTAAATTATGCTAAATAACTTTAGATTTTTAATGATATGGTGAAGTCATAGAGAATGTTGAGAGCCTTAAAAAGCTCAGCAGATTCCAAAGGCTTTATTAGGAATGTAGAGGATGTGTGGGTTGGTGGAAAAACAACTAGGTATCCTAGGAGACCCCAAACAACCAAATAATCTTTAACAACCCACATGATTTTGATTTAATCACTTTCCTATACCATATTTTACCCAATAACATGTTTAATGCAAAAAGGAAAATCCCTTAATGGAAATTTTTACATTTAGTTTTTAAAATTTCCTAAATGTAAAAATTTCCTTTTGCACTTTTACGAATTCAGTAACATCATTCTAAATCGCAAAGAAAACAATGTAAATGTAGGTTTGAAAGAACCAACATCAATTGAAAGAGAGAGGTAGTAATAAAATTTTCTGCGGAGCCAAACATCTGAGTTAAACACTTCCTGGGGACCAATATTAGAAAGAAACGACAATAAATGAAAGTATTGCATTCAAGAGGTTTCAAGCCATGTCATTGACCGGTAATGCCCTGTACCTACATTTTTTTTTTTTTTTCAACGTTTATTTATTTTTGGGACAGAGAGAGACAAAGCATGAACGGGGGAGGGGCAGAGAGAGAGGGAGACACAGAATCGGAAACAGGCTCCAGGCTCTGAGCCATCAGCCCAGAGCCTGACGCGGGGCTCGAACTCACAGACCGCGAGATCGTGACCTGGCTGAAGTCGGACGCTTAACCAACTGCGCCACCCAGGCGCCCCTGTACCTACATTTTTAACGTTAGAAGAGACCACTGAGATCATCCAGTTTAATTCTCTTCACTTTATGTAGAAGGAAACAGACTCAGCTAATTAGTAACAGAATAAGACTAAGACTCTAGGTCTTGTGGTTCTTAAACTAGTTTTATTACCAGATACTCTCCCTCCCCTCCTGGAAACACTTACTCTTTAGCAGGAGCTTCCGAACCTTCCAGTCCTACAAATTTATTTTGATTAATTTTTTGATTCATTTGGGTTTCTGATGCTCCTTAATGAAGAGCCTCTGTATCAGGAGATTGAAGACAGGCTCAGTACCTTGGGACTCAGCTGAGTCCCAATACCACGTGAATTTGAGGCACAAAGGAATTCCATCTTTTCTCACTGGCTAGATGTGGGTTTGATTCTTGATGTTGGCTCTGCACTGATTTAACTACCTTTTTAGTCTGTGCTGGGAGAGGGGCTGAGGGGCCGAGGCAGTTCTAACCAGGGCAAAAGCACCAAATTAATATCTAGTTGAGATATATGTATTGATTTTTATTTTCATAGTATATTTGCTCCTCAAGTTTGGTGAATCTTATGTTAAAATTATTTTTCTAATATCTGATTGAGTGCATACTGACAAGCGATAGGGAGAAGATGCCAGAGGTAGACTGGGTTTTAAAACTAATGGTAAAACCCCACAAAATCCAACACATGAGTGTTTGTTTATTTATTCAGGCTTTCTTTGGGGGAAACACAGAACATCCCGAAACACTTATTCTACCTCTTTAAATTTTAAAGTGTTATAAGAAATTCATCTTCTGGGGACGCCTGGGTGGCTCGCTCAGTTAAGCGTCCGACTTTCTCTCAGGTCATGATCTCACTGTTTGTGAGATCCAGCCCCACATAGGGTTCTGCTGACAGCTCAGAGCCTGGGGTCTGTTTCAGATTCTCTGTCTCCCTGCCTCTCTGCCCTCCCTCCCTTGCTTGCACTGTGTTTCTCTCTCTCTCTGTGTCTCCCAAATAAACATTAAAAAAATTCATTTTCTATAATTTATTTTTTTCATTTTCTATAATTTATATGTGAAGCTATGACTCTTGTTTTTAAGAAACACGTGAAAAGTGGGAAGGGATTATAGCTTCTAATGAGGTCTACAGTGGGAAATTGTTCAAAATTTTAAAAATAGCACATACATAGATAATAATTTCTGATTATTTTTATTAGAATACTTTGTACAAGCGATTAACAAATTGTTTTTAGTAAGTTTAACAGGTGGCAGCATGTATATTTTCTCAGATTTGTAAGTGTCTGTTTTTGAGTTTGTAAAGAATTATGCTACCTAGGCAGTTGCTTAAGCTTACATTTATTTTTTCTTTGAGAGAGAGAAAGAGCATGTGCTTGAGGGAGAGAAAGAGGGAGGGAGAAAATCTTAAGCAGGCTCAATGCCCAGGGTGGAGCCCAATATGGGGATCCATCTCACTACTGTGAGATCATCACCTAAGCCTAAATCAAGAGTCAGGAACTCAGGGTGCCTGGGTGGCTCAGTCGATTAAGCGTCCGACTTTGGCTCAGGTCATGATCTCACAGGTTGTGAGTTTGAGCCCCGGGTCAGGCTCTGTGCTGGGTCAGGATCTGTGTGGACAGCTTGGAGCCTGGAGCCTGCTTCAGATTCTGTGTCTCCCTCTCTTTCTGCCCCTCCACCACTCATCCTCAGTCTCTCTCTCAAAAATAAATAGATATTCAAAGAAACAAAAAAGAGACACTAAACTAGCTGAGCCACCCAGGTGCCCTGTCATTTAATTTTTTTTTCTTTTTTACAAATAAGGTGAATGTAATTATTCCTAAGTATTTATTATTTTTCATATACATTGTACTGTATTTGGCACATTAGTTTATGTCCTTGTTTGGTTTTAGTTTTAATTTCTCCGTAATAAAAGGGTTTTGATTATACTACCCTTATATGGCTGAGTGTCTTATAAAGAGTAGCCAATTATATAAAAAGCAGCTGTGCGATAAATTTTTGTTTTCAAAGGCAAGCTTTTAAATACATATTAACATTGATCCCTAAGTCACTTTATACTTGAGGTTGGAAAATGAATTTAAATGTGACTGTCTAAATGAACATATACTAACTTTTTCACTGTCAGATCTGCCTGATGAAGGCTATTGGAAAAATCACATGGACTTGCTTTCAGAGCGTGTGGTTATTTATAGACTCTATCTACAATGCTGATGTCTTACCTGGTTCTATATTAGTACATCCAACAGTATTTCCCTCCTTGTAGTTCCACAGACACCTCCAAATTAACACTTCTGATATTTATTAGGATTAGATTCAGCTGTGACTAACAGAGAGTCACAAAATAACAGTAGCCTAAATGTGTAGAAACTTCTTTATTTCTCATGTTTAAGAAGTCAAAGACCCAGGCTCTATCTTGCTGCTTGTGTGTGTGTGTGTGTGTGTGTGTGTGTGTGTGTGGTTTCCATGCCTCAGTTAAACTGATGAGCCAAGATTTTTAATAGAGGCCTAGTTATTATGTCCATATTTCCTTGCAGGAAGGAGGAAGGAGAGAAAGAACCCCCACCCCTCTTTTTTTTCTTTTTTTCATTTATCTTTGAGAGAGAGACAGACAGACAGACTCTGAAGCGGGCTCCATGATCTGAGCTGTCAGCACAGAGCCCGAAGTGGGGCTCGAACCCATGAACTGTGAGTTCGTGACATGAGCCAAAGTCAGAAGCTTAACTGACTGAGCCACCCAGAACTCCCCACCCCCTCCTTTTAAAGACACTTCCTGGAAGTGGCAAGCATAACAACAAATTTATATTACATACCATTAGCCAGGATTTAGTCATTCAGCTGTATCTAGCTATAAGTGTGAAATGTTACCTTTATTTTGGGTGGCCATGTGCCAAACTAAAATCAGCTACTCTGTTACTATGTTAGAGGGGTTAACTCAAGGCTTTAGTCTTTGACACAATGTCCAAATCTCAACATACCTCTCCATAAATCTAATTTCCTCCTTTGTCTCCACCTCCCCCATCAAGTTCCTCAGGCCAGAAATTTGAGAATCACCTTAAACTCTTCCTTCCTTCACTTCTTGCATCCAATCAGTGAAGACTAGCTGATTGAACTCCTATATGTATTTGAATCATCCTTACTACTCAACTGTTACTACTCAATTTTAGACCCTTGGAATTTCTTGTCATGGCTATAATAAATGGTCTCTTAAAGGGTCTCTTTTTCTGTAGCCTTGGCCCCGTGAAATAAGTCTTCAG